TTTTCCTTTCTCATATGATTTCCCAAACTTTACCTTAGCAATGGATATCTTTATTATCCCTAAATAATCTTCCAAAACTTAGCTGGAGTCTCCAGTCTTAAATGTTCTGAAGCAGCAAGAAAGCTACAAATGTAATATAAATTACTGAAACATCTTTAAGATTTACATTAGCACTCCTGGAACAAAGAAGATTCATTTTGATACAACTGTATTAGTCAAGAATGGTTTCATTATCTCTTCTTACTCCACTTTCTAAACAAATGCAACCATTCCACCCTTAAGATGTTGAGTTATTAAAACCTGTATGTATCAGTGTTCTGTTTTTGTAATGGTGATAGCTGAACTATCTCCAGCCATATTTGGGGAATAAATTGAGTCAAAAAGTTATTTCAGGAGGCCAAGTTATTTAGTTTTATTTTTGTCTACCACCAAGAACTCTAAAAAGGTATGGCTTTATAATTGACCAATCAGAAGAAAAGGACTGTAAATAACTAGTCAGTCACATACCTTAAATTACAGGGACATTTATATATGCTTAAATATAGCAAAATGACTTGACTATACATGAAACCGTATAATATAATTTGAAGTTGTATAAATACTGCTGTATTGTGTTCAATAATAATGCATTGGTCAGGATTTTCTCTTTTTGTCCTTTCTATATTTTGACCCAATTCCTTGTAAACTCTATTTATTTTTGCTATCATATTTGAGGTTTTTGACACTAACTCAAAATCCCCCTATTTATAGAGATTCAGTTTTTCATAAAATTATTATGGAATAAGCATAGAACAAGTTCTTGCACATTTCTCCTCAGACTTTTGATTCAGCATTTAATAATATTTGGAAGAATGTGTCTATGAAGTACTTGAGGGTCAGAAAGCAGAACTGAAATTCTAGATCAAATTTAGTTGAGAACCAGTGTAATGTCATGGTTAAGAGTGTGGGACTGGGATTCAGGAGATCTGAGTTCCAGTCCACACTCAGACATGGAGCTCACTAGGTAACATTCACAGACTCTCAGATCAAAATAACTTACAGGGTTGTTGTTGTGAGAATAAGATTGAAAGGAGGAAGAGACTTATGTAAGCTGCTTTGAGTTCTTTGAAAGGAAAAAGATGACATACAAATATAATCAAAAGTTCAAAAACAGTAACTGGGACAGAACACTGTAACTAGACTGCTAATAGGGACCAGGTAAATAGATCATCCCTCACCTGCATTAAAACAATTTTACTGGCTCCCATGAAGCATCCATGCTCAATTTAGAATATCAGTCTTAACTTTCAAAGCAGGTATGGGCAACTTGTGGCCCTTATACGTTTTTAGACTGCCTGTCCTATCAGCCCTAGCCAGGATAATATGATGAAAGTTGTGTCCAACAACATATGCAGGGCTACACATTGCCCATACATGATTCAAAGTTCTATATGGCTTAGAATCTAAATACTGTTGGATTGGCTTTCCCCCCATTAATCTGACTGCCTACTGAGTTCATCAACTGAGGTTTGAAATCTTGCAAGTTGTAATAGAAGATAGATCCTTTTCAATGGTGGCTCTCTACCTTTAGAATGCCCTCCCCTTGGAGACCTGCTTAGCACTCACAACATGGTCTGTAGGAAGATGGGGCAGCCACCTTGCTGAAACTAAGCAGGTCTAGGTCTCTTAAATCCTTGGCAGCGAGTCCACCTAGGAATAACCTTAGGTTAAAGGATGGAAAGAATATAAACGTAACAAACAAATTTCTCAAATCTTTTTCCACACTTAAATGAAAATTAAAATATTAAGTAGTTCTTTCAACTATCTATCTGAATTAACTATTTCTGTTTTAGTTTGTTGTGTCAGTTCATATTTTATTGTCTATTTTTAATTACACTTTGATTGTTTTCTTACTACTTTGATAGCCATCCTGGGGGAACATACCTTAGACTGAATATATATAAATTATAAAAACAAATTAGAATGGAAATCTAGTACAGAACATTAACCATGAAAGTGGCAGACACATGCAATATACACAGCACAAAACAGCAACCAGAGAATTACCAAAATTAAAAATTAAAAGTTTGGCAAAATACAAATTTTACCAGTTATCTAAATATTCAAAAGTCTGAGCCGGTTAGGGTATCAGTGAGGTTGCCAGTAGACTGCAGACATCTATAACACTTCTGCACAAATAGCCTAAAATACTAAATGAATTGTGATTCCAAATTAATAAATTGCACTCAGATAAAGCTATAGTTAGGTTAGCATGCATTAAACAAGACCTATAAAACAAACACAAACTTCTAGCCTAAAACAACAAAAGTCTTGGAATACTCTGCAATAAATGATACCAGTTGATCCAGACAATTTCAAAAAGCATTTATAAACTTGAAGGACTTTAAAAATCATATTTGGTTAAGATTAATCTCTCTAAAGCAAAATAAATAAGTAAGAAGGCTAGACCCAGAAAGTCCCTTTTGTGAATGGAAGCAGTCCTTCTGTTTGTGGAAGGAACTGAGATGCAGCAGAAGTTCCTATTAAAAGAAGGCGAGGGAGGTGATTTTCTTTTACTGATTAACCCTTTCCCATGCAGCTATCTCCCATTTCCTAAAGCATTTCAAAGGCCCTGTCAACCTTCTGGAACAACTTTTCAGATGATATAGTGATCTGCAGAGTGGGGAAGTAATCAGCCAAAATCCAAAAAAAAAAAAAAAAAAAAAAAAAAACCCACTTCACTCCTTCCCTATAGCATGTGGATGGCAAATGTTTGGCCCTCCAGATGATGATGGATTGAAACTCTCATCAGCCTTAGCCACTAAGAGATGATGAGAGTTGCAGTTCATCAAAACCTGGAAAGCCATACATACTCCAGCTCTGCTATAGAAAGAACATCCCATGAGAGGAATTTCAGTTATTGGGACTCCAGATCCAAACCAATAGGTTTCAAATAGTTGGAATCTTCATCATATAGCTAGATCACGAATGAATACAACCAATCACAGAAATAACAGATAAAGAAACCAAAGAGGTATGTGAAAGTATGACAAACAAAAACTTAGGACCAGGTTGTTTTAATGACATATAATGTCTAAGTATAATGTAATGCCTGCTTCAGTGGAGCTTTATCTAATAAATCTGCTTTTGAGACAAAATGCTTAATCCTTGCATATGTCAGGAGTTAGACTATTAGCAGAACTGAATCCTGTGAAAGATCTGGTTTCTTATTCAAATTATAGATTCGTATCTTTACTATTTATTGATTTGAAAATCCTCACTTTAGTTTTAGCTACTTGATTACAATATTGAATATTGACTACAATATTACCATTCATAATTCATTCTGATTCTTACACAGACCATGTAGTAACCGCATTTACTTATTACAGTCTTAATTCACAGGGATCTGATAACTTAATTAAGAGTTTTCCCCTGCCCATCTTTATCTTAGAACATTTTGGACTGTCCCCCACGATTTATTAATTAAATTAAATGGTATTTACTGATCTCATTTTCAGGGTCAGTCAGTGGATATTTTTCTGAACTTGCCTGTTGCAAAGGGAGACTGGACAAGAGTGGCTGCTCTTCTGTCTTAACTGAGTTGTCATTGAAACCACTGCAGTTAAACAACACAAGATACAAAAATCAAATTAAATATAAAATTCTGCCCTGTACTGACGTGGGGCGCAGCAATCCTAACTCCCTGGGAAAGTTGGCTTGAAGTGGTTAGGATAGCATCCATCAACCAATGAAGAAGACATTCAGAAGACCTACAGTTCCATTTTCTAAATGCAGTTGTTTACACAGCAATGTAGATTTAATTTCCTGTAAACAGCTACCTGGTTTTCTAAACTTCCAGGCATTTAGAAAGACAAGCTCTGAACAAATTCAGAGATTTTGCAAATTTTTTTAGGTTTAGCTATCTATCTGCACGCACGTGCACATTAGGGACATCTCCCTTTGACCGAGCTAAGCAAGGATGTCATGGATAGGACGTTTTGGAGGGCTTTCATAGGGTCGCCGTAAGTCGGAGACGACTTGACAGCGCAGAACAACCCTTTCACCAATTGACAAACCAATATGAAATCTCCCGAATATATAATCTACTACACTTTATGAGGCTGTGAGGGGAAAACACATGCCCTAATAAAGGACAATCCTAAGCGATCCTCAATAGTTCCATTCGATTCCTATCCCAGATAGATATTAATAGGTTCGCAACCTTCATTTCTCAGAGCATAATCCTACTTTTACTCATAAGTAAGCTGCACTGTGTTCACTGAAGCCTCCCATAGGTCCAGAATTAAAGCGCTAGTCTATCAATTATGCCTATTGTAAATAAATTTCCCAGCATGCAGCGAAACATAGGCGTCGTTTAGGTTATTTAGCCATATTGTATAATATAACAAGTTTAAACTCCGTGTAGCTAAAAGCTATGAAATTTTATTAACGAATAGGCTTTCGAGACGGGGATGGTCACGTATTCCACCCCGCTTCCTGCCCGCGCTTTCTCCTCGAAGACAGTTGCAGTCACAGTGAAGCGACAACTGGCAGCGAAAAAAAAAAATAACGACTGTGCCTTTTGCGCTGTCTCTAGGCAACCGGTGATAAGAAAAAGCGCAGAGTAGATACTGGAAGGAACTGCCACTGGAGTGACGTATCCAGTTTTAAAAATAAACGGCGCCTTAAGGGGCAACGTTACAGAACCGGATATGACCGTTGGAGTATCCCCTTGGAAGGGGGCGGGGCTGGAAGGGGGCGGGAAACGGAAAGGCGGAAACGAGGACTCGAATTTTCATTACTCTTTCCCGCCTGGAAAGAACGTAGGAGGTGTCACGTGCCTAGGGTCACGTGGCCTGCGTATCCACGTGATCTGAAGAGGATTGGGAGTTTCCGCCATGGGCACTGCTCTGGATATCAAGATCAAGCGGGCCAACAAGGTGTATCATTGTGGGGTGAGTCTCCTCAGGAGATGCCGTGGTGTTAAAAAGGCCAGGTGCGGGTATGGAGAAGGAGGAACATAGGCTTTTTGTTTTTCCGGAGAAAGGAGCGCGGCGATCCTACAACTCCTTCTGGAAAGAAAGCCCCATTCAGCGTGTATGGGCTTAGTGCTGAGTAAGAGCGCTTAGGACCGAGTTTTGGTTCCCGTTATTTTTTTAAAACGGCTGGTTGCCAACAAATGTGTTTATTTCTAGCAGCTCTGTGGTGTCTGGAACAAGCGGTAACATGGGAGTGAGCCGCGAGAGGGCTCGGCTGCGTTCGCACGAACCAATGGATGTAGGTGTACAGCGCTCCTAACTTTATACCTCCGCTACGAGGACAGTCTTCCTCGACCTGGTACCTTCCACCATTGTTGTGCTATAAATCTCATCATCGGCAGCCTGTGTTGCTCTGAGGTGGTAGAGGTCCAGTATATCTGGAAGGTACCAGGAGGTGAAATGCTCCATATTTGCACAACGAATATATCTAGGGGAAATAAAGTCTAGACTTTTACTTCTTACCATCATTATTCCAAAAAACGTTTTGTGTATGGCATTATACCCTCATGCAACTCCCAGCCTCATGGTGAAGTAGTACAGTGCAGGCACACCTTTGCTGCCACATCTGTTCTGTAAAATTTGCTAGGTTCCTGACAGTGATGATTATGAAAAGTACAGCTGCAGTATTTCATTCTTATTTCCATTCTGCATTTCAGAATACAAATTCTACCACTGTTCCCTACAAATAACAAAAATAGCAGTGCAAGTCTTAGCAAAATCAGATAGATAAACCACCTGGGTCCTTTTCACAAGGCAAATGGTGGAAAGTGCTCCAGCTGGGGCAGGAGTTGGCTTCATCTACTTCCTTTTCTCTCCTTTCTACAGGTCAATTGATGGTAGGTCGGGAAGTCCAACTGGAGCAGGTCCTGAGGACTTCGCTTGCTTCTTTCCTAGTTTTTTTCCCCTATAGCACACATGATGGTAGATTGCAGTAGAGGAAATGGGGAAGTCCAGCTGGAGTAGGCTTTAAGTCTTTTTTGCTCCTTTTTTCCTTTCTAATGGGGGTCAGTATTGTGTTGTAAACCCTAGAAAGTGGGGTTCAGGGACTACAACATTGTATTTATTGTTTTTTAATTTCTGTATCACCCAGTAGGTGAAGCTAGCATGCTTCTTTTTCTCCTACAGTAAAATTTGAACTGAATGTCATATGATGGTACTGTTGTGTGCTCAGTAGTGACTTTGGTGAGACAGAGAACAAGAATGCAAGAATTAAAAGAAAAGTGTGCATTGCATGTTTAATTAAACAAATGATGCTCTTGAAAACAAGCAGAACAACAAATGTTTTTTCTCTACTTTAATTGTGCAGGATGATATACCAGTAGGGCATACCAGTAAAGATTCCCTTGGTGAAAGAAATTAATTGTAAATGTTTATCTGAGGACAGAGATGATTTTGGATGAATTGTGAATAGAGAGAATGAGAACCCCTTTTGATATTCAAAGGTTAATTGCCTCTATTTAGAGAAGCCACATTTAGCTCTACTGGGTTATACCTGTTGATACAGCATTCTTGTGTGAATTTGTCTTTAAGTTGTTCAAGCCATTGTTTCCAGATGCGGGTATCAAAGTAAGGACTTCCCCAACCTTTTCCTCCCCAGTGCAGCCCCTCCAGACCCCTGAAAATGCCATGTATGGGTTGGAGGATCCTTCTCAATGGATCCTCCAACTAACCAATCCTCCAATGGAGCTATGGTGCAAGGAAAGGCAATTAAACATAGAAACAGAGCGAGCCAGAAGGGGCCTCCTGGGCCATCTAGGAGAATCCCTTTCAGTTAATAGAAGAGAGTTCTTAAATCACAGAACTAGGAGTTATTATGATAACTTGTGTTGGTGAATTCGGTATGCATTGTGTGGAGAAAATAATATTTTTGTCATCCTGAATCTAATGCAGTAGGTGCTGCCTTGAATTCTAGCATAATGTGGGAGAGGAAGGATGCTTTTTTAATTTAAATATGCACTTCTGTTTCACCTCTCTTCTGTTGTGGGGCTCAAGGTGGCTGCATGCAGTTCCCTGGTGGTCTTTGCTCCAAACACTAACCAGACCCACATAAGGATATTAGAAAATTCCACAATGGACACAAATGAGTTTGAATTTCTGTGAATACAAGCTGTGGGTTCTGCAGCAGCCTGGCTTTTTCCAGGTATTGTGGATTTCACAGACATGCTGCCTTTTTTCCAAATTGTCATAGTTTTACCCCAAATTCAGTTGCAGAAAAATATGAAACATAAAGGAAACCCATCAACTGGAAATGTGTATTTTCCCCAATATGCATTTTGTGCAATTTTAGAAGTGCAAATTTGCACATACATGAAGTTGCAACAAATGCATATGACTCGATTTATTCAATGAGTGGATAATGAAATGAAAGGGACCTGAAAATCCAGAAAATGCAGACAGACCAGATTTTACAGAATCTGTACAATCCTAGATCCAGATCTGCTCAGCTTCAGCTAGGAGACTGCCTCATGTGCTTCCCATACGTGGGATGTTCTCTCTATTCCTTACACTGTCTACAGCCGTATGTGGCATGAAGCCCTAATTTCAGAAGACTTCTGTAAGCCATCAGACTTCTGGCAAGTCCAATATGTCCCTCCCCTCTTGGTGGGAAGTGAGAAAAAGGGGGCTTTAGAAAAAGAGAGAAGGGGATGATTTACCCACTTTGATTTTAGTTCCATCTTTGGTGTTGGCATTGCCCACTGTTGGTGGTTGACATCTTAAATATGGCTTTTAAGGGAATGTTGTCCTTGACTGAGAAAAGATTTACCACTCCTGCCCTACATCATTTATAATTTTAGAAAATGTTCTTGCTGAATTACTATATCATAGCCTTTCTCTAAAATTGGCCTAGAAGAACAAATAACTCATTATTGGTCATTATGATTTTCAGTAGAAAAATAACTAGTTAAAATGTAATAAAATAGGTCATCAGTCAGGGTCTGCTGCTAAAGGTCAGTCCTAAGGTAAAAGTCTTAACAGCATTTTGGAATAATGCTCAGGCAAATCTCCAGGAGAGAAGATTTGAGCAATTGTGAAGTAGTGTCTGTGTTTTTCACTTTGTCCAGAAATTTAAAACATTATTGGTTTCAATGGGATACACAGAAAGATGTGATTCCAAACAGTGAGGGGTGGATTAGGCTGAAAGAACTCTTAGCTTAAACCAGCACTTTCCAATATGCTTGCAAGCTGGAGCAAATGCTGAAGCACTGTCATAATGAACACCAAAGTTTCCTACTACCTTTAAGAGTCTGGCCATCAGTTTTCCCACTGCTTGAACTTTAGGAGCAATCATCCAGAACAGATCTATTCAGAGTGCATCCTACAAGATTACAAATGTATGGACGATTCTTGCTGGCTTTGAGCCTGACACACTATTGCTGCCTCCTTATTAGATGATGGTAAAACACAGTGATAGATCCAACATCATCCCAGAACTGTGAACATGCTCAACTGTAGGAGATAGGACTTCTCAACCATAAGGGTTTTCCTTCCCAATTCGCAAGAATGTCAGTAGCTAGTGGAATTTTTTGTGAATTCAGCTTCAGTTGCTGTAAGGCCAGAGATAGAATTCACCCAAGAAGGGGAGAGAATGAATTAGTTGTCACCAGAACACTGATGGCACTGAATTCTCTGCCTCTTTATAGTTTCATCCAATAGTTTCATGTGACCAAGCAGGAAAGGGAGCAAGACATCCTCACTGTGGGAGCCAGCAAGAAAAGATATATTTTATTTATTTAAAAATTTTCTGTACTGTCCCATCACAGATGTCTCGGGACGGTTTACAACAGATTAATACAATACAATAAAAATAGAAATAAAATCAATGGATTTGATGAACAACCCACCTGAGACTTTCCAGTAAGTGTGAACAGTTCTACAAATGTGTGCCATAATGTCATAATTAGCCATACCAAAAGTTGCAGAAAGGCTATAGTTTCCCTTGAATTGAATTTCATTCATTGAGGGTATAGCATAATTTTGATGTTGCACATGCTCTGTTGAAGAGCACCGCTCAGGCGTCATGGTGTTGTCATTCTGCTGTGTGAGAGGACTGGCTTTGGTGCAAGGGGTTCTTTCTTTGCTTTCCCAGGCTTGGAACCCAATCCAAGATCATTTCATGGAATCTAAGCAAAGGCAGGCTCTTGCATCATTTTTCTGTCTCCAAGGCTGGAGATGCAGCCCTGAGAAGGTTCAGTTTTGACACACAAATGAGCATTCCTCAAGGAGAAGGGATGCAAAGCAATTCCTGGAGGTGTGTGTATGTGTAGGGTTTTTGTTTTTGTTGTGCTGGTTATAGCTATTTCTAGATAAATGAGATGGAAGCATAACATCAAAGGTACTGTTTGGTTTACTCAACGCCATTGTCAAAATGCATTATAAATTTTTTACAGGGAATCCGTAGGCACAGTTAATACATTTACAAATGCATCTTTTTAATTATAAATCATTATTTCATTAATACGCAGACTTGCTTTTCTTTAGGAAGCCATCTGCCTCTACTGTGACACAAACCAATGCTTGTAATGTTTCATTTATAGCTCCTTTTATCCTGGAGAATCCAAAATCATAATAACATCAAAGTGCTATACAGGAAGAACCTTATGAATGAAGTGGAACAGCATTTTTCAATGAGTCTGCTAGCTGTTTAGCAACGTTATATAATAGTGATGCTGGGGCAGAAGAGTGCCAGACAAACAAAACTATGTTGTACACTTTCCCACACTGTTCCCATTTCCCCCTTGGGGGATGATTCCTTTGGATAATTCTAACAGCTTATGTTTGCCACTGAAACCTGAAAAATAGTGAGACAAATTGATTGATTCTATGCCCTTCTTGTTTTTTTTTCTCATTTAGGAAATTCTCACTGGAGTGGTAGTCATAACAAGCAAAGATGCACTTCAGCACCAGGGTGTCTCATTAACAATGGAAGGATCTGTAAATCTACAGCTCAGTGCCAAAAGTGTTGGTGTATTTGAAGCCTTCTACAATTCTGTTAAGGTACAAATAGTAAAAGTCATATGTATGGAAAGCCTTCCTAAACCTATTCTGTATATAAATCTGTGTACCGTATTTTTTGTTCTATAAGAAGCACTCCCCCCCCCCCCAAAAGTAAGAGGAAATGTCTGTGCATCTTACAGCGAATGTGTGTGTGCCTGACGCCCGGGACGCTGCCTGGCCAGCATGCGCTTGGCGCGCGCTGCTCCGCCCCCTCCCGGCGCAGGTGAGAGCTGTGCCGCTCAGTGGCAGCAGTGCGGAGGAGGAGGCGGAGCCGCAGGCTTTAACCCACTGGCCGCACGGAGAGATGGGACTGCTCACCCCCACTGCCCGGGAAGACCTGTCGCTGCCGCGCCGCCCGGAAGACCACCGCCGGCACACTGTCGGCCTGGCTGCACCATGTGGCACCACCTGGCCGGCACACGCTCGGCGCACCCTGCTCCGTCCCCCCTCCGGCGCAGGTGAGAGCTGTGCCACTCAGGGGGAGTGGTGCAGAGGAGGAGGAGCCGCGGGCTTTAACCCGCTGGCCGCATGGAGGGACGGACGCTCACCCCCACCGCCTGGGAAGACCTGCCTCTGCCGCGCCGCCCAGAAGACCACCGCTGGCACGCTGCCAGCCCGGCTGCTCCACACCTAGCCGGCACGCACTCGGCGCGCCCTGCTCCACCCCCCTCCTCCGGCGCAGGCGAGAGCTGTTAATCACACGTTGGTGTGTGTTTTCAAATGGCAACCCGTTTTTTAATGAAGCCCATGGGGAAGTGATGGGGAATGTGCCTGTGATTATCAGGAAGCTTTCCATAGATCCCTCCTCTAAAAACTAGGTGCGTCTTAAAGAGCGAAAAATACGGTATATAAGGTATGAAAGGAAAATGTCATGATTTCTGCCTTTTTTCTGTTTATGTAATGATTCGCTGTATAACTAATCATCTGAAAAAACAAAACTCAGCAACCTGCTCCTTAGTCATTTACCATGCCCAGAATATAATACCATGTCCAGCATACTAAGCTGAGATATGCATGAGTTCCTTTTCCTATTCATACAGTCCCTTCATAGAATACAGTAATCAAGGTAGGAAATCTAACTAGAATTTTCTGGTTTATGTAAACCAGCAAATAACATAGTTCCTGTAAGCCATCCTGGGATGATTTTTGTATAAGACGAGATACAAATATTTCAAATAATAAATAAATAAATAAAATATTACGAAGCAGCTCAGCTATTAAACCATGGCCTGAATTGCTTTAATAACTTGATTTGTTATGAAACTGGTAACCATGGTTTCCTAGTTTGGAGGATTCATGGTGCTATGGTTATTTGGAGACTTACTGCTTTATTCATAGATTGAGCAACCCAGATAAGGCTTGTACATATTTCTGTTTAAGCTGAGATATGATTGATCAACTTATGTCAACAATTTGCCAGGAATATACTAGCATAACCTACAGTACTTTAGAGTGGATTACTCCAGTTTTCCACTGTTTGCATGTCTGTCTGGTGGTTGAGAGAATTTGCACTGGAATTGTTCCATGCTTTTATGGGGCATTAGTGAAGGAAGGGTTGAATTCATGAATCAGAAGAAGCAGGTACATAGGAAGAAAAGGAGGACTAGCCAGTATGCAGAGATACCTCTACCCTTACTCCTGATTTGTAAGCCTTCAGTAGTTATTTGAGGTACTCTTCCTATAACCATGGAGGATGAAATTAGTTTAAACAGGTAGTATGATTCCAGCTGAGCAAGTTTGTATGGAAGTGACTGCCTAAAACATCAGTCAGTTATGCTGCCAGCTAATGAAATATCCTTTTTTAAAACTTAAAATTGTAACTGAAGTGCTTAAAAGACACAGCTTTTCAGAACAAAGAAAAGGATATAAAGAATCCTCACTTCATAAGCTAGCAAATGCAACCCTCAGTTCTAATCTGAACAGGACTAAACGTGAGGATGTTTATAAATGGTCCTTCAGGATTTGCTAAAAACTGAATAAAACTTAACTTCCCAATTTTAAAAACATTTAAAATATATTTTCTTTTTATTTCCAAAACTACTGTGTTATGTAAAGCACTCAGGCAGTAGGAACAGATGAAAGAAGGAAGAACATCGTTGGTTCACAATGCTTAGTTAAAACCAGGAATGGCATCAAGGTTCCACTGGGGTGGGGGGGGGGGGGAATGTCTTCAGAAAAGTTCCATGACCAAAAAAGTTTGGAAATTGCTGCACTAGAGAGACCAATCTGGAACCAGTGATTACACTGATCACTTGATTTTAAGCCTTCATCCTTGCCATCTTTTCTATCAGTATGCATTGCTGGCTGGCTGCCCTCAAAGCCTCTATAGCCTGTTGGTGGCTTCCTCTCAGGCCATAAGTGTTATGGATTGGTAGAGCAGCGAATGTTGAATGTGTAAATACTTTGAAGCAAAGGTAATCTGATTTCTAGTGATACAGGACAATGTGAGGGAGCTGCTGCAATTTTGTTGTATTAGTCCAGACCCTTGCAGTTCTGTTAGTGATTGTTTCAGCTTGGAACTTTTTGGAGAAAAGGCCGGATAGTGGTTAATCAGGCAGCTAACTTAATCTGTATTGCACATAAAAAGGGGGGATATTGTTTATGTGCTTATAATACTTATATACCAGTTGATATAGCAAGTAAGTTTTCAAAGGGTGTTTGAAATATGCTGCATTTTATGTCTCTTGAATCATGAGAAGGTACTCCAGAGTGGGTGGTGCTGCCAAGAAGGCTCCTGTGCATGATACTACATGACAACATTCAGTTGCCATGGAATTCTCAGTAAGGCCTCCTTGGGTGCATACGGGGCAAACAATCTGCAAGGAATCCTGGTCCTGAATTGTTTACTTTGAATGTTGACAGCAGAAACTTGAATGTTAACCAGTAGCTAACAAGCATCCAATGAAGTTCTTTCAACACAAGTACAATATGTATATGGCTAGGTGCCCCTCTGAGCATCCTGCTGCAGCATTCTGTATTAGATGCAGCTTCCAAACAAGATGTAAAGCCAGCCCCACATACAACATGTTACAGTAGTCTAAAGCATGCACTTACCAGTGCATGAACCAGAGTGGGTGGGGTATTTGGCACACTGCTTAAGTTGGTAGTGGATCCTTCAGGTTAGTAAGGACACTTGGGCCTCCAATGACTAGGATGAATCCAGGAGCAGCCCCAAACAATGTGCCTGTTCCTTCAGAATCAGTTTTACCCTTATCCAAAGCAGGTACAATCCAATTCATGAACCTGGTAACTGTTACTCTGTTGGAACGCTGGTGCTTGAACTTGAAGTCAAGCACTTTTAAGGGTAAAATGAATTCCATTAAACTTTTCCATTTCCTTCTCTGTTTCTCCAGCCTATTCAACTTATTAACAATACTGTAGAAATGGTGAAACCTGGAAAACTGCCCAGTGGTAAAACAGAAATTCCTTTTGAGTTTCCATTGCAAGTGAAGGGAAACAAAATTCTTTATGAAACTTACCATGGAGTGTTTGTCAATATCCAGGTAAAAATGATTTTCAGTTTGGTAGTGGGGCAACATTGAGAACTGACTTCCTACATTTTCTTTCTCTCATGGTGCTATTCTTCATAATTGGAACTGTCTGCATTCTCTATGGAGGAGTATTGCTGTTCATTTGACAAGAATTCAGGTCACTTTTTGGTTGGACCCATCCTTTTAAACCAAAATTTACACTGTCTTTGCAGAAAATGCAAGAGATGCTTCTCTCTTCCTTCTGCCCTTTTCATTCCTCTGAGGAGGTCTGACATAGCCAAGACATTCAGCAAACCAGAAAAACTTACCATAAAATAATTGATGGATGATGATGTATCAATTACCTGTTTTTTACTTTTCTTCCTAGTGCTTTGGGTAGGAAACTCTCCCATGCCACCTTGACTAGGTGAATCATGACATTTATATTTGTAGCATGTTAGATTAAAAATAAATCTGCATATATCGTAGCACCCCAATGTCTTAGCAGTTTTCTATTATTCATTTAGTACAGATCTGCATAGAACACTACAAATTCATGAATAAATATGGTTTGGCTGAACCAGCCTTTGGACATGGATTATTTCAACAGGTTCTTCCTCAATATTAAATTCAGCCTGATTTGAGGTCTATCCTGTGGTTAGTAACTTTTGTATGTCCCATGATGGATATCTCCTTACACCAAATGGAAATGCAAAATTAGGTTCTTACTGTGATGTTCTGTTCCAAATCAGTTTATTGGAGACTCCATATGGGAACTGACAATCACTTTAATCATATTACATATGTTGATAGATGGGTTTTGTCTGTTCATTCAGTTGCCACTACATCATCATCTTTTATTTTTTGTCTCAATCACTGCTATGAGAACATAAGAAAGAGCCATGCTGGATCAGACCAGTTTGGTTTTAACCACCCTAAAAAGTTTAGTGTCATCAGCAAACTTGGCTGCCTCACTGCTTAGTCCTAATTCCAGATCATTTGCAAACAGGTTGAAAAACATTGGTCTTAATACAGAACTGGTGGGACTCCACTGCTATCTGAAAGCGCTATTAGAAAAAAATGGCTGGAAGGAACTACTGAGGCCATGACCAAGGCAAAAAGCCTAATTGTCTGTTCCTTGCCTGTTCTAGGCAATGAGAGACGTTAACTGAGCATCATATTGAAATGGAATTTTACTTTAAATACCCAACTTCCCATTTGCACATGTATCATCCAGAAGCTTTCTTCCAAAATACAAGGAGTTAAAATATTTATTCTTAGATCTTGTCTTACTGCTTTGACATTCTGAGGTTGTAAATTAGGTTGTTTCCTTTGGAATTGTGTCTTTGAGAATCATTGCTACACTGCAGTGAGTGGACTTCAATTTTTCCTTTGACAATGGACATATTTGTGCAGAACATATAGATTTAAATGTTTTCAACAGAGGTTTGAAGGCAAGCTTAATTACGGCTTGAGACAAATATGAAGTTTATTTTTTAGATACAGTGAACTGTGTCTTGCCAGGCCAGTGGGCTGCTGTGGCAATTGTTTGAAATGTACCCACATTGAAATGTATTGTTGTTGTTAGTCGGGAAGTCGAGTCTGACCCATCGCTACCCCATGGACAACATTCCTCCAGGCCTTCCTGTCCTCCACCATCTCCCGGAGTCCACCTAAGCTCACACCAACTGCCCCAGTGACTCCATCTAGCCACCTCATCCTCTGCCGCCCCCTTCTTCTTTTGCCATTTATTGTTTCCAGCATTAGGCTCTTCTCCAGGGAGTCCTTCCTTCTCATTAAGTGGCCAGAGTATTTGAGTTTCATCTTCACTATCTGGCCTTCTAAAGAGAGTCAGGGTTGATCTCCTCTAGGGTTGAAATGTATAATAGTTGCCTAAGCTAACTAAGATACATTCTATCTCCATTACATTTTGCTTATATCGTAAATTGATTTGATCTGTACTTGTGTACAAAATGTTTTCTTGTACCAACATTACAGTGCAGCACAGGAGCCTCTTTGAGCCCTTGGTGTTAGTTCTCCACTTTGACTTACTGCTCTGATAGTGTAGACTTACAAATCTGATTTATTTGTAGTGTTCTTTTGAAAGTAAAACAAAACTAGCAAAACTTTTTAGGGTATTTTGGGGTACATCCAACCCCTTTTATTATGTACAAGGGCCTAGTATTTCACTATTCATTTTTCTTTTTCCCCCTTTTTTGGGGTGTTAGCCCATTGAGATGCTTAAGCTAACATTTTGGGGTGCATTATATCTCAATAGATTTTGTGTTACACAGTGTAGAGATACAAGTAAAATTTATCAATACTATCTAGTTCTTAATCATTGGACACCCATTAGCAGATTGATACTGTCAATGGAAATGTGTATGAGAGTTAAAATGAAATTACTTATTTATTTACAGTATTTATATGCCACTCCATATCAAAGCAGATTCCGATGCTTTGAGCAGTGCAAAGCTAAAAGAAGTAAAAGAATAAAAAACAATACTTTGAAAACAAAATCAGCAAGAAAGGCTTTACAAATGTCTAGCAGGCATTGAAAACAGCTCAGTGCTGGTGCCTGCCTAATATTCAGAGGCAGGGAATTTAATAGAAATGGAGCCACTGCATTGACATTTCTTCTCCTGTGGACTCCAGTTGGGCCATCAGTCTCTGATGGACCATAAGGAGAGTAGCCTCCAATGACAATAATGACTAGGCAACTTGGTAAAAGGAGAAAGTGCTTTTGGGTGTCCTGGTCTCAGTTGTTCAGGGTTTTGTACATTAGTACTTTTTCCCCAATGCATTAGGAATGAAAGAATCAAACAAGGAATTGGTATTTTGTGATTCCTCAGTTGTTTTATGGTAATTTTGGGGGGGCTGTTCCTCCTATTATCTTGGCTATGCCAGACCTCCTTAGAGAGAATGAAAAGAATTAGGGCAGAAGAAAGGGAGAACCATCTCTTGCATTTTCTATAGGGGGAAAAAAAGAACTGGCCCAGAAATGAATGCACAGCCCATGCAGTTCTTCAGCAAGCTGAAAAGAGGCCATTCCCAACAGCCCGTGCCCTGGAAAGGCCATTACTTGCTGCATTTTGTGCTAGTTACAACTGCTTAGGAACTTGGAACCAGAAAAGTTCAAGCATAGGGATGTTATGGGAGACCTTCCTGATCACTATGTGTATGAATGTGGAAGTTGGACAGTGAAGAAAGCTGGCTGGAAGAAAATGGATGTGTTCGAAACATGGCACTGAAGGAGAACTTTCTGAATCCCCTGGCGTTGACAGAAAGTTGAACAAGTGTGTCCTAAAGCAATTCAAATCAGAATTTGTGCTGATGGAAACATGACAAATCTGAGGCTGCTGTCCTTCAGGCACTTCATGTAAAAGCAGTAATTATTGGAAAAAGACAATAAGGCTAGGGAAAGTTGAAGGCAAAAAAAAAAAAAAAATAGGGAGAGAGAGGGAAAACCAAGGATGAGATGGATCAATTCCTTAAAAGAAGCCACAGTCTTTTTACATGAGCCCTACAGGGCTGTCAAGAACAAGCTGTTTCAGAGGGCAATTATTCATAGGTTCACCATTTAAGATGGGGGCAACTTGACTGCATGAAACAGCAACATTAATAAATATTAATGAAACCCAGGGAAATCTTAAGCAAGTCCAGTTTTTTCCCCTAGAAAGTCCATTTGGCAAAATAAGGACCAATTAGTCTATACAACTCTGACCCAGCTTTCACATTACAGCAGCAAACCATGAGTTAGTTAACTCATGATTTAATTATCTCATGATTTGCTGGTGTACATGGCTGGCCCTGTTTTCCCAGATTTTTACCATGGGGCACCTTTAGTTATGTGTAGAAGTTGCTTTAGTTATGTGTAGAAGGGCCATTTTTCTGATTCCATGATAGTGAAAAATCTGGTTTGCTTTTCATCTTCTACAGTATACCCTCCGATGTGACATGCGACGCTCTATCCTGGCCAAGGATTTATCTAAGACTTGTGAATTTATTGTCCACTCACCAGTAAGTTTGTTTTTAACAACTGAAACTATTTGTTTAATGCTATTTTTCTTTTACCCAGAAGACTCAACAGATCAATACTAAGACACTCAGGATAAAATAATAGTGAATCAGAATTTTGCCTCTTTTCTTTCTGAGCAATTAAGTTTGTATATGTATTTAGTTGCTTTAAAAGAAATTTCTCATCTTTGAGAGATTTAATAACCGTTTAAAACTTAATTTACCAAATATATTATTACAAGTGACAGTGTTCTGAGGTAGAGTTGCCAGAAGGTGGTAATGAAATATTATATAATTGGGATTTTGTAAATTTGAATAATTCATTAGGAGTTGTTTTATCATCCAAAAACTGTGAGATGAGTCTCATGAGACTAAAGGAGTTTAGGTCAAGTTTTTTCAAACAGTTGTACAGTGTTGCATGGCCAGCTTTTCCTGGAACTGTAGGGTATATTAAAAATATTTTGATACGATACAGAAATCAGCAAGTCAGTGTGAATAGTTTAATAAATAAATAAATAGTGGGGGGGCAACCTTTGGCTTCTGCACAATGAGTATCTTGCATGCAATTAAATATCTTTCAGGATCCTGACAAAGGTGAAACTTAAGCATCATACCTTGGATTAGTGTTGTTATCCTGTCACTGCAAGGATTCATCCAGTATCAGCTTCACTTTTCTAAGAATATTCTGCTAGTGTTTTATTTAATAACCATGACAAGCTACATCAAAGAAGTTAATTATGAATATATGGGGCAGGTGCCTGCTCTTTTACTTATCACTTCAGATGCCCAGTGCTAAAACATCTTAAGATTATTTAACTGTTGGTTGAAGTTGCTCTACTCATTATGTGTCATTCTTTTCCTCTGGAAGAGCTCTGTCTACTCTAGAAGTTGGGATAGTAATTAATCTTAATACAATGGATTAAAATGATAATGAGAGAGTATTCTGTAATAATATGTTGTCTAATGTTGGGAGTTAGTGAAATGTGTAATGTCATTATTCAGAGGAAAGCAATGGAGATTTATGTTGGAAAGAACACAGACCTGAGTCTAGGGCAAATGAAGACAAAAACAAAGTCAAGTTCTACATAGACCACTCCCTAAAAAACCCCACAGAATTTGATCTCTTCTGGAATTAGATAGTGCATTTATCTCTGAGGTTTTTTTTAAAAAAAAAAACTATATTGAAGCTGTTCCTTGATGCTATGCATAAGGAGAATGCAGTCTTAGGCTGTCCCTCTGCTGTAGGCTGAGTCATCATACCCAATAAAGACACTGCTCTAACCTTCTCGTTTTCTTGCAGCCCCAGAAAGGCAAGGCAACCCCAAGCCCAGTGGACTTCACTATTACCCCTGAAACACTACAGAATGTGAAAGAGGTATTATTTATATTGCTATTTTTTTAGGGAAAAATGCACCCTAAATAATGTCAAACCATGGGTGGGGTGGGTTGGCTTTGTTTGAACAAGCCCTGTGTTCATACACTTCAGCCCTCCCAGCTTGCTTCCAATCTTCGATTTGGCACCTGAGCTTCTAATTCACTGGCAATGCATTACTGAGAGGGCAAATGGAAAAGTATGGGGTTGGGCTAAAAAACACCAGGGCCTGCTAAAGTTTGATTCCATGTCTCAACCAACCCTTTATATTGTGGGGAATGATTTTTTTCCCCTTCATCCTTTTTACTTGGATTGACTCCTGTAACTGCAACTAGTGGAGTAATATTAGCTTGAATTGAGTTGAGTTTACAGAATACTAGACCTGGGGTCATCTGTGAAGCCAAATGACAGGACACTCAGGACAGATAAAGGGAGTATTTTTCCATAGAACCATGGCATTCACTACCAGAAGTTGTAATGGTGGCCACCAGCTTGGACGGCTTTCAAAAGAGATTTAGGGAAATTAATGGAGAATAAAACAAACAATGGGTTCTAGTTATAATGGATATTTTTAACCTCATATACCAGCTGCCAGGGCATGAGTGCAGGTGCTATTGTATTCATGTCTTGCCGGGGGGCTTCATGTAGGCATCTGATTCGCCACTGTGTAGACAGAGGAAAACAGTAAAGTCTTGCATCCTAAGTTGCAACTTTTTTCTTGTGTTTCCTTCTGCATTTAGAGGGCATTGCTGCCAAAATTTCTCATCAGAGGCCATCTCAATTCAACAAACTGCACCATAACACAGCCACTAACAGGGGAGCTGGTGGTAGTGAACTCAGATGCTGCAGTTAAGAGCATTGAACTTCAGCTGGTACGAGTAGAAACCTGTGGTAGGTCATTATGTGTATATACATGTTTCCAAGTGTATTGCTTTACATTTTACAAGTAATGCTTTGTATTGAATCACTGACTTTTTCAGCTTAATTACTGTCTGCTGGAATGCTTTGATAGAACCATGGCAAAAGCTGCTTCATCTTAGTGGATCGGTACTGAGAAGGCACATTTACATATTTATTAAAGTGTTGTGCAGGTCCTGACATGCAATACTATTTGTGCCCAACCATTTACGTACACATTGGCTCATCATATCCTAAACTATTAATTTTTAAATGCTGTTTTCATTTGGAAGCCATACTCCACATAAGAATTTTCTAGCATATATTGGAATACACTAGCAGAATTTGACTGGCTATTAATGACACTTTTATCCCACTTTGCAAAGGCTGTGCAGAAGGTTATGCTAGAGATGCCACTGAGATTCAGAATATTCAGATTGCTGATGGAGATGTCTGCAGAAATCTTCCTATTCCAATATACATGGTATTCCCCCGTCTTTTTACCTGCCCTACCCTGGAAACCACAAACTTCAAAGTTGGTAAGAAAAGTATGTTTTGTATTACTGCACCTGTTCCTTGAGGGCCATTTTGAAACAGTGTGATATAATCCTTAATAAAGAACAAATATTGTACTGATAGCTGATTAGTATAACTTCAACAAATACTTCCATGAAAACCTAATTAAGCACTTTCTTGCCCATCAGCTTTGTCAAAGCAGTATATATTTACAGATAAACCCTTAACTCAGGATGAACAGAAGAAAAAAAAACTCAGGAAATGCAAAAACAATTTTAAAAATTAACAGTGCACTTTCATTGCCTGTTCAAAATGTAGTAGTGATTGAGCCAACTCTGCTCCTGAGAGGGGGCTCCACAGTAACAGTACTGCTACAAAAAAGATATCAACCAACTGAATCTCTCTTGGTAGCAGGATGTACAGCACAGACTCTGAAGAGTAAACTGTGGACAGAAATCTGGAAGGCAAGTCATTTAGGACTTTGTAACAAACCAGCATCTTGAGTTAGGCCTGGAAACAGATTGGAAGACAGTGCAGTTGGTTTCTGACTAGCATTATTTGGTGTCAAAATCACATGCCTGACCAGAAAAAAACAGCTGTCACATTCTGGAGCCAGTGTGGTGTAGTGGTTAAGAGCATGGGACTGGGACTCAGACGATCTGGGTGCTCGTCCCCGCTCAGCCATGGAGCCAACTGGGTGACTTTGGGCCAGTCACAGACTCTCAGCCCAACCTACCTCACAGGGTTGTTGTTGTGGGGATAAGATGGAGGAGGAGAATGATGTAAGCTGCCTTGAGCCCTTTGTAGGAAAAAGGCAGGATATAAATCGAAAAATAAATAAAAATAAATTCTGCATTGGTTGTGTCAGAAGCAGACTGGAACTGGTGCAGAAAGCACCTCTAAGAGCAAGGTCAGATTACCATGCATAATCCTGCTTGGTGACAGCCAGGAACAAATCTGTATTTGCTCTCTTGCATGGATACAAAGCATTCAAAGAATGGGCATCAATCTACATTTCTTTACTTAAATATTCCAAACCGTTTTATAAGCCATGAATGTGCTACTTTTACAGGGCTTTTGTCGCAAAGTTCACATTATGAGCTGTACTAATTCCAGGACTGCTTTTTTTTTCTTCTTCTAGAATTTGAAGTCAACATTGTTGTTCTCTTACATGACGATCACCTCATCACAGAGAATTTTCCACTGAAGCTTTGCAGGCTGTGATCAATTAGAAACGGTTTCAGGACTATCTATGGGACCAGGTGCAACCTTGGTGCTGCTGGACCCAAGCATTGGTCTCATTCATATGTATTCTAGTTTCATGGCAGTAATAATCGGGTATTTGAATGGCAAGCTAGCACTGTAAGCTACAAGTGTCAAAGCACTCTCATGCAGCCAGTGTTCAAGAAAATCAGATGTTTCTACACAGTGGTGCTATGCAGCATATAATCAGAAGCTGAAGAAGTAGCTTGGATTCTGGATGAAACTGTGGCAGACTAGACAGAGGGCTGTGTGTGCTATGTATGTGGGAGTTCTGGCAATGTCTTTGGCAATGTCTTTCCGACCCATAGAAGTCTTAAGAATTTCTTAGTGTCCTGAGACTACATTGATTTTGGAAGTGTTTGCCGGTCTTGTTATAAGCAAGATAACCTTTAGTGAGCAGAGAATAGAGTGAGAAATAATTTTGAGGATGCTGCCCATCCTTGGGAGGTATTAGCCTATAAGTCCAGTGAATGAATCTGGATGGTGAGACGGTAAAAAGCAAAATTGGGCTATCTGGCTTTGGCATGAGCCTAACCTAGGCTGCTCCTTCATATACCTCACTAATTTTTGATAGTGTGGAACAGCTAAAGTTTCTATACCAAATGTGAGTGTTGTACATCAAATAAAGATGTGTCCATTTCCATAGAGCTATAGCTTGTTTTCCATTAGTGGCAACCAGACATTATTTGGATTTTCTTTGTAGAAGATGCTTATGGCTATTGCAGTGGATGGAGCCCTGTCATGTGTGAGCCAGAGAGGAGGTGGCTACAAAAGCAAGAAGTGCTGTGCCTGGCTAGTTGCCTTTCTGTCCAAATCATAGTTATGCTGGTTTTCCTGACAAGTGGTTTTTTTCATTCAAAGAAGTTTGATACGACACTGCCGAAATAAGTAATTTTCTTCTGCAGTGCACAACCCACAGAAATTTTGCCTAATTTATTTGAAGGGCTTTGCAGGAAATAGAACTAAAAGCCACCTTTCTTGTGTCCCAGCATAGATATTAAGGTTAGGGATTCCACTAGAATATCTGTCTGCACGCAGCTGAATGCCTCTATCCTGTTTTCCAACAACTATGGCAAAGCAGGAGTAATTTACGGAAAGCTTTTGCTACATTGCTCCTAAACAAGTGCAGAAAAGGGTGCCAGTAGGGAAAAATGAGGCCCATCTACAGGCAGAAAAATGTGTAGTAGAGAGAAGTTAACCTAGCCAAGCTCACAGGTTGCTGTGATAACAATGGAGGACCATATATAGCACCTTCATTTCCTTGATAGAAGGTAAAATGCAAACAAATTTGCATAAGCTGACTAAATTTGTGTTTTCCAAACTAATTCTTGAAACAACACATATATTTTTTGCACTTTCCCAAATTTTGCAGTGTGAGTCTGATCAAAAGATGCATGGAAATGTCAGACCATGCAGCCAGATTCAAGATTCTGCTTGGTTCTGGAGTACCCTAAAGGAAAAAACTGATTCCTTGTCCTCTTCTTTCATTTCTAAACAGAACTCATGAAAAGGTATCCTGACCTTTGGAAAACCCAGAACCAAGAACTGAACCAGTGACATGTTATTTCATAGATTAATGGTAGTTCTTCCTTCTCTATAGTACACAGTGCCAAAAAAAGTGATTTCCCCCCTCTACAAACCTAGAACATCTGGATCTTATGTGCCTCCCCCCACCTTTGTTAATGTCACTCTGAATGCAATCAGGTGAAATAACTGTTTGAACAGCCTCTTTAAAAACTAGTCTTAAGCAGTGTGATAAAGGGTGTGTTTGAGCGGGTAGAGGGGAGACAACACACTTAAAAGTGCTCTATATAAATGTCTGTTCTGCTCAATGACTTAATGCTTGCAGGGAGTCTCTGTGCAAAGTATGTACGGGAGTGCTTCTTATATCTAAGGCTGTACTCCAGCAGATGCATTATTTATGTGAGCTGTTGGCTCCAAATAGGCACTATACAGATGCCACTGAGTTCAGGTGGCACACCTTGTATCCTACTACAGTACACCTCACTTGGCGCTTACAATGATGATGCTTTTGATTAGCTCAGTAAACCAGGCAGAATAGAAGTACATTTGACCCTCTTTGGTGGGTATCCTTCCCATATCTCGAAGTTCTTGATCAATCAAGCATGCATAATGATGGACAGACTTGCTTTAAATCTGGCTAGTAGGAATAATACCAGTAGATTAAGTGACTGTTAAGTTTCTTATTCTGCTTTTTAGCCTTCAGTATGTGACAGTATAAAGAAGAATGCTTTTTGTTTTTCATACAGATAGGTGTGTGAAAAACACTTTGTGCTTTTCCAGGATAAGTGTCTTTGTTCTATTGCTGCTTCAAGTTATTCAGAAGTCCTTTTTTGTTGCTTCGCATAATAAATGATAACTGTTTCACACCTGTTCCATGTGATATTGGATGGGGTGTATCTACCCCCATTTTAATGGTAGGTGTAAGTGGTGGCAGATGACTTTAACAGTAATCTGAAACCTAGTTAAGCCATCTATTCCAATTTATGTCATTCTAGCAGGGATTTGGAAGTAGAGAAAATGTTGACCCAGCAAGAAAAATTACCAGGATAATCTCAGGCCCCTGGATAACCAAGAAGCAATCAGAGAAAAGCTGAAAAAGATCACTAATAGAAGCACAGTGCCAAAATAAATAACAGAAATGCCTGAGATTCCAGCTGGGTTTCAAAAAGGAAGGGCACTTGAGATCATATTTCAAATATATATTGTCTTCATAGAGTACAGCAACGTCCTTGACTGTGGATCACAAAAGGCTATGGATGATCCTGAAAGAAATGGGTAAGCCTCAGCACTTTAATTGCCCTGATGCATAACCTGTATCATGGACAAGAAGCTAGTGTTAGAGCAGAATCTGGAGAAACAGAATGGTTTCACATAGACAAAATTGTCAGAGTATTTTATCTCACTATCTGGTCAATCAGTACGCAGAACCATGTAAGAAAAGCTGGATTAGAATAAGAGGAAGGAGTAAAAATTGGCTGAAGAAATCAATAATTTAAACTGCAGATGATACCATACTACTGGCAGAAAGGAGAAATTAATTGAAACTCCTGATGGAAGTGAAAGAAGAAAGCACAAAAGCAAGATGGTAGCTGAACATTAACAAAAATCAGGACAAAAGAATTGCAGAATTTTGCTGTGAACAGTGAAGAAAGTGCCATTGTGAAAGATTTTGCATACCTCCACTCAGTCATCAGTTCAAATGGAGAATGCAGCCAAGTAGCCTTGGAAGGGCAGGAAGGCCAAGATCATTCGAAGCTCCTATATTTCCAATCACAATGTATGAGTGTGAAAGTGGACATGAAGAAAGTTGACAGAAGAAAACTGGATCGTCGAAACATGGTTCTGGAAGACAGCTTTCCAAATAACCTGTACTAAGAGATGAACAAGTGGGTCCTAGAACAAACTAACCTAGAGCTCTCCCTAGAAGCAAAGATAACAAAACGGAGACTGTCATACTTTGGACATATTGTGAGAAGGCAAGACTCCATGGAGAAGTCAATCATGCTAGGGGAAGTCAAAGGTAGAGGAAGAAAAGGAATATCAAATATGCAATGGATTGGCTCCAGAAAGGCAAAGCCACCACCCAGAATTTTCAAGAGCTGGGCAAGGCTGTCATGGATAGGACATTATGGACATTATTTCATACATAGAGTTACCATAAGTTGGAGAGGATCTGATGGCACTTCAGCTGCCCACTGAAACAGTCTAGGACATTGAGTTCATCAGTCACAAGAGCTTAAATAGAACATTTAAAACATTTTATTAATACACTTTTAAAGGAACAACATTTAATAGACTTACTTGTAAGTCTTAACTCTTCTACCTGTTTTGCTGCAATGTTACAAAACTGCCTATTGTGCTTGTCTATAAACCAGATTACTACTGCCAAGGGGAAAATTCAGAGTCACTTACTGTCTTTAACATGCAACACTTCATAAACAGAAGGAGCAGTCTACACATATATCTTCATTTTCATGATTCTAAATAAGCTGAATCACATCCTTGCTTAATCACATACAACATCTAAGTGGTTCTTTTCCGACCAGGAAGCTCAGGATAATCTTCAGGTAACAGAACATGATGACGGCATGTTGGGCATGTACTGTGCTCCTTAATCCATGGCCCAATACACTGTATAAAACACAGACAATATTCATACATATTTAATAAACAATCAGAGCTACCTGAGGTAGGCACTGGTTTTTAAATTACATTTTCCAAAAGTTCCAAGTTGTTAATGCACATCCTATTATCATGTGTGATGGGAGTTTGAATGTTTGCAGGCTATAGAAAAATGCAGTAACATCTGATACCAAACTGCAGCAGCAAATTGAATACTTCTAATAATCAGCAATATGAATTAAGAAAATACCACTACTATGTATGAGTATGAAAGCTGAACAATGAAGAAAGTGGAAAGGAAGAAAATTGGTGCATTTGAAACATGGTGCTGAAGGAGAGCTTTGTGAATACCCAGATCAACTGAAAGATCACCAATTTAGATCATCATGCAATTTAGATCAAATCAAGCCAGAACTTGCCTTGGATACAAAAATAATGGAAATGATGGTGAGATTTGCAGAGAAACCAATGTTAGAGAAAGTCAGAAGCAGAAAAAGGGGAAGACCAAGTATGAGAAGCCTTGGATTTCTAAGAGCTGAGCAGGACATTTTGGAGAGCATTCAATTCATAGGCTTGCTATAAGTCAACAACTTTATAGCACACAACAGTATACTTCCTACTTTCAAAGGCTGAATTTAATTAGCAGGGCTGTGTAAAATGAATACATCATGACCTGCAAGTCCAATTTAAATTTACTTTCCACTATTTCCAGTGATGAGTGATTGGTACGTTGTAATACAATTGAATCACCCAACTAAAGTCCTTGTTAATCAACATTTCAGTTAAAATGTTAGACCTACTAATTGTTGACAGTACAGATGTATGTAATCCTGGGAAATGTATTTAAAAAAAAACCATGAAGGTGTCAGCTTCAGATACTGCAAAGCTCTCCTATAGCCTAAGTCATGCTATATAGATGCTGTGTAAATTCATTGCTCGTGTACACAGTCATAACTGACTCTATGCAAATACTTGGAAATTGTAGCTAAAAGTTACGTGAGCAGCACCAAGGCTTTTCTGGAGGGAGGGTGGGAGCTTTGTAAAGTGCCACTGTAACCATAAGTAACTCCTATGAATGTGTTACATCTCCATGTGTTTATACCATAGACTTGACTGAGGCTCATCTACTTGGAAGTGATTTTGTTAATCTTGATAGAACAGATAAGGCCCACTGAATTTACTAAGAAAGGGTTATTTCTCTCTCTCTCTCTTTTGAAAATAGCCATTTAAATGTTTCAGGACTGAGCTTAAACACTGAAAAGTACGTTCCAGGGTAAGCACTCATCTTGGGAGTCCAAGCTAATTTAGTCACAACTCTGATTATGCTTTCTACAATGTAGTTCAGGATTTTTTGTTTCCCTTCAGGGAATTAATTGCAATTAATTCCTTCAGATTGCAAACAGGAATACATTCATGGGGATGAAGCAAGAACCAGGTGCTAGTCAGCACCAACCTTCATAATTAGGGCAGTAAGGCAGTCCACAAAGTCACAAGCAAACAAACTAATACAAGTTATTTTCAGGACTAATTGTTCCACTTACCAGTTTATGAAATCTGTGCCCACAGTCTAGCACATGTAACATTTCTGAACTTAGTTCCTCATGACATATTACACAAGGATCATTATCCTATAGAAACAAATGTATTTCCAGTCATTTCAGAACTACTTAAACTGTATTACACAGAAGTAAATTAAGTTGTAAATAAGTAAATAATAACCCCATTATTATTGAATTTCATAGCCCATTGAAACAGCATGTGCTTTGCCTGTGTATGTTCCCCAACACCTCATCTTAATGGTGACAGATGTCAGACCCAGAAGAATTGCTGCCAGAGATTATAAAAAGTAGTGGGCTTCAATGGACTCAATATGTGACAGTATAATATGGCTTCTCAACCAAGTGCCCCCATATGTGAAGCATTCACTACTGTGCTGAATGTATGGAAAGACTTGTAACACAGGATGGCTTCTAGAGGCAGTAGCCAAATGCTATATGAGTGGAAGGCTGCTTGTGCAACAGGACTTTGAGACCCATTCTCCCTGCTGTTTCTTCCCATTTACAGCCTCAAGCCTTGCCTTTTGTCTCTCCATTACCCTTTATACTTTGCTGTTTTCTTCTCCCAGCCTCTAGCTTTACTATTTCTCTCCCACCAACTCCCTTTAGTTCACCTAAACTCCCTTTAGATAAGTCAATCCGTATCTTCCATGAGAGGATTTGTATTTTGATTTAACTTCATTCCTGTTACCTGTACTATCCAAAGATTAATCATTTTGAACTGCAAGGGTTTTTACAGAAAAAAACATCTCCACCTTAAATTTAAAGAATGCAGTAATCCAGCATATTTCAGAAACAGGCTGTGAATACAGGATTCCATAAGAGCTACTCTTAGCTAGTGCTTCCATCTGCTATACCCTATCTACTCCAGATATCTGGAAGGTGCTGGAACAGTGTAGGCAGCTTTTCAGATTCAAGAAATTCTTCTGGGCTATACAGGGGGTTGCTGTTAAGTGGCATGGTGAGCCAGGACAAACAAAAGGTAACATTCAGGACTTACACTGGCATCACTTGATTTCTTCCATTTCAGTTTTGATGTTCCTCCAACAGTTTTCCAAGGCACTTGAACTGACTGAGGTGGGAGATTAGTTTTCTTCTTATTTTTGTGAGCAATTCTGGACTTAGATAGGTTAGAAACACTTTGTCCTGACATCTTGAACACTTTATGAGTCTGATTTCCACTCTGGACTGAAGCATCTGAAGCCAACTTCTCAATGCTCCCTGAAGAGGGCAGTACCTGTAGAGTGACAGAGGAAGAGAGAACAGAAAGCTATTGGTGGTATTTTCTTAATTTATACTCTATATTCCATCACTCAGAGTAGCCAACAAAAATAAACATTACTACTTAACACATAAACTAATACAAAAATGCAAGTCAGCAGTAGAGTCGGAGTGTAGCTTTAGTAAACATTTTAAGTGCCAAACAAAATAGACGTCTCTTGCAATGCCACCAAAAAGCCAATGAAAATAACCACTTATCAACCACACATGGGAAAGCATTTCAGAGCCTCTGTGTTACCATGGCTCTGCTCTATATAGCCTTCTACTCCCATACCAATGGGATGCTCAACAAAAATTCTCATGTGAACCCTGGGAAGTGAACAGAAGGACAAATATAGAACTTCTCCAAAGTACACAGTCCCAAGCCTTAAAAGAGGCAATGCTGTAGCTTGTATTAGGATGTGCAACTAGTGGAATATACTTTCCCATCTTGTACTCAACATTTGACTAATTCCACATCTCTTCACTGAGTCCATTACAGTGGCCAAGTCCTGCAATCAGAACAGCACAGAAAGCAATACTAAAACCTAGAAAGGAGAACTGGTATCCCAATGCAACTAAGAAAATAAGGGCTACAGAGCCCCGATTTCCTCTTTAACAAAGCCAGATCCAAGAACTCTTCCAAGATTATGTGGCTGATCAAACTATAGGTACCCATCTATAGCAGCCCCAAAAGTCCTGGATTATCCATCAGCACTGGCCACATACTGAAAGCATGTAGCTTTAGTCCTAGTCAAGCTCCATGGTTTTCATAGTGGACACAAAATCCTGAGCTGTGCTGGACTGACCAGGGAAGGCTTGGCACAGATATTGGACATTCCAGTCAAGCAGGAGTCTGAAGTACGTAGCAAAATAAAAAGTCAGAATGGATTAGCTTAGCCAGCTACTCCATCGGGCTATGGGTTGCAGAATATGCTAATAGAAACCCTGGTCTGCCCTGGATCACCACCAATGGGTAAAGTAGTTCTGCCACCATGCTAAAGCTGAGGTAATCAGTGCACAACCTTATTTACCACACAATATCAGTCATGAAGAACATGATGCTCTCCACAGCCTCAAAAATAGAGAGGAGCCGCTGTCATCATAAACAAGTTGGACTATATGCAGAAGGCTGAGAAGTAATTTTCCAATGCTGTATTTTACAGGTCCCTATCCTCAGATCCCATTGATGAATATGAGGTGGCTGTCTCCTATTAAAGGTATTTCCTACAGATGTACAGAACCAAATCAGAAAGCCTCCATCCAAGCATCCATCCTCTACCTACTCAAAATATACAAACCCTGGATTTTCCCCTGTCAAGCATTAATATTATCACTGTGAGGCTGCCTGGCTGCATGAACTCCATTCTTGGACCATATGTACGAATATTCCACCAGGAACCTCACTGATTTCCCAAGGAACATACAATGCACTGGCATTCTAGAAAAAATCATCCTAGCTACCATGGGTGTTGAGGTTATTTAAACCAACTTCTCTCGCAAAGATGGCCTATGAGCCACTGCAAATACTTTAGCTTGGGGCTGTATCTATTGCTTGATCAATTACACTGATGTTGGTTGTGGCAGGGCTCCACAGTAAGCCAACATCTTTATAGCTGAGTTGGAATAGCCCTCAAACCTTTCCTCTGACATCTTTATTATCTAGGTTCATGGAAAGGAACCCTAACAGTTCCTCTATGGCTTCAATAGCTTTCACCTCACAATTAGCTTAAGTCTTGAAAGATCCACAGAATAGGTCCATTTTCTGGAAACATGAATGGTGCTATACAGCAACTTCATCCTATATCAGAAGCCTACAAACTGTTACATATACCTACACACTTCCAGCTTCCACTCAGAAGACATCACAAAATCCATCACCTATGGTCAAGTTCTATGATAGTACCACATCTACTCAGATGTATCAAACAGACACACAGCATATGAATCTAAATCAGCTTAAGAACCTAAATCTAAAATGCATTTCTCAAAATACAATACCCAACAGAACACAGAACCTTCCAGAACACATCTCTATTATTTCATGAAAAAGGTGAAAAGATGTGTTCATCTGGTTTTGGGTTGAAAGTTCCACATATTCTACCCCACTGTTATACTACCTTAAATGAATGCTTTTTTGCATCTATGCAGGACCAAGCATTTCTGGTCAATTACCTTTTTCTTGTTTGGATGATCCAAAATAAACTCTGTTACTCTGCTAAGCAGCTCATCTGGGCTCAGCTGGCTTTTATTCTTGACTTTTACTTCTTTTATGAAATTCTCAAAATCTGAACTGGAGAATAAAATAGGAAAAATTAATAGGTGCTTTGTAACTGTGAATACTTCCCGCAGCAACACATCTTAGAAAGCACAATTTTGCAGAAAGCTGGGCTTCATTTTAATTGCACTCATCCTAGAGGATATCTGAATTTTCAAAATTCAAACCAATTCTGCCAATACTCAAACTGTAAATTCTTCACAGTCATCAAGAATATCCTAATTTTGCACTAACTTCCAAGTGGCATATTTTTAAATAAAATTAGCCAACTCCTGCTTCAAGTTCAAAACTCAACCACTGAGCCTAACAATAGATTGAAGGATTTTTTTTTCAAGCAGCTTTAGACAAAGTTATGCAAGGAGCAGGTATTATATATTGTAAACCATGAATTGGGGAACTTCAGACATATGGACCAAATACAGCTACTTAGTTTTCCTTAGACGACAACACTGCCTTTCACTGGTCCAACCACTTTAATTGAATCATGTGGTGATTTCCTGGCTTTTGTACAGTCCCTTTCCCTCTTTTAAAAGGTTCAATGCTTCCCCTAGCTACTAGAAGCAAGAGCTTTAAGCTAAAATATGCCAGTAGTGGGGGTATTTTGGCCTTGCTTCTTTTGCCTTTGCCCCTGCCACCACTGAAATAGCTGCCTCCAAGTGCATCTGTAGGTTGGTTCTCAAGTCCAAAGAGGTTCCTCACCCCTGTTCCAAACACTGGCAAGACCTAAAACATAACCAATCAGCAATATTAAGTCCTTCAGGAAATATTGAAAACCAGGAATAAATAATTTTCACAGTAATTGACACTCAGAATGTAAAACCTGAGCTGAATCATATCAGAATCCTGAGAACATTCCACTCAATTTTCACCAACCTACAGAAAGACAAAACCAAATAATGGAACTACTCTCCTGTGGTCTTCCACACAAATGCTATGTGGACCAAAAGGCATTTGTATCTGAACTGCATGCACCTGGATGATAGATACACATGCAGAGAAGGCATGGCAACTAGGAAACCAGAGTTGCCATAAGATGCTGCGCAGAGAATGGACAAGGGGGGCAATTTCAGTTCTACAGCAGGAATACAAAACTACTTTTGGGTAGGGGGAGGCATATGATCCTCTCAACCCTCTGTCAAGTGGACATGGCCACCTTGCCTAATCAACTCAAGCAGTTGATGGAACTTCCATCTGACACTTGGGCCAGTGTTTAGGCTATTGCTTTGATGGGAAGCTACAGAGACAAGGTTAGTTTACTTGAGAGAAGGAGGTTGGGCATGCAAAAGAGAAGTTGTGGAGTCCTCTTTTCCAACAGGAAGAAGGCATGGTGGGCTAGACAGATGAGGATTCCCCTGCTAGCATGTCCCAATATGAGAATATCCAGTGTTATTTCAAATATAAGACAGAAGTAGGGCAATGCCTCCAAAAGTGATCAACCAGAAAATCCCAAGATGCCATGTGTGCCTGTCTAAGGTGACTGTGGAATGATTCAGCCCTGCAGGCCAGAGGTCCTCCACCCCTGTTCTAAGGGTCCTATTGTTTAAAACAGAGGCACACCACTGGAAGAAAATAAAAGAGGATATTCTTATTGTCTGAATATTTGTGTCAGAGTATTTAAAGAGCTAGTAATTTAAATTCACTAGCAAGTCTTATGTAGAAAAAAGTGGTGGTCTGTGAATGACCAGCCTTCAACATTTTCTCCATGGAAAAATACCTTGTATAGTGTGGAAATATAGTTCTAAGTTGCTCAATTATATTTTCAGACGCTTTTGGGAGGGGCAGCTTCTTAAAGATTTTAATATGGTCCAATCTTGCAGTCGCTGCTGGTTCCTCTTGAGTGCTGAGTTGTACCTGGGCATCCTGCATAGGTCTTCTAGAGTTCCCAGATGACTGTGTTAGACATACTTGATCAGAAAGTGAGCTTTCTTTGCACTGAGAGGGTGCTTCTTTATTTGTAGAAGGAAGCCTTGAAACTTTACTGGATGCTTTATTTCCAGTATGCATGTTAACTGTAGAGGGTAAAGGACTGTTATCATTCATACTTGAAAATGTAGCAAACAAATTAGAGGGCAGGTGTGGAGCTGTAGCTGAATACATTACTATGGCTGGATCATTAATAGGAGGCTTCTCATGGGCTCCCTAGAGAAAAAAAATACCACCTATAAGTTCAAAATACTTAAGTAGAATTTTTAAGCATTCCAAAAGTGTTTTGCCATTTCAAAAATGTTTCATCCACGGCAAAACTTGATGCTAAACATTAAGACAAAGGACACTGCTTCTGCATCTTTTGCATCATCCAGGCGGTCCATTAATTTATATGAATATCATAATTTTCTTAAGATTTCTGTGCTTATTAGGAAGACTTTAAAGTTATATTCCCTTACCTCATAGACACCAAACAATACAGCAGAACAGTGCCTGAGGTGTCCTGGCAAAGTATTTTAGCACCTCACTGCCTTTCACCTTGGGCTGAAAGGCCAAGCCCACGTGTGATGCACAGAGACCATGACAAAGAATCATCATAGTCTGGTTTCTACTTCATTGTCCCTGGGCTCATCAATTAAGTTCCCATTGTGTTGTAACAATTTGGTTGAACAGCTAAAGGTAAGCAGTTGGGAGAGGACTCAGCCCACTTTGCCTCCCTTTGGCTCTTCAAGGAAGTAAGTGGTAATGGCTCCACAAACTGGCTCCTTGGAGTTGTGTTCCACCACAAGAAAGGCAGCTGCAAGGAATCATTAGGAGGTGATACTGCAGCTCCTCTTTCCCCTATCAAAAGAGATATTCCGGTGTATATGCATTAGGAAAGAAGGAAAGTCAACTTTGGCTTCTTTCCAGTATTTTTACAACCTGAGGTTCATTCTAACCTGATCTCCATTTCTACATCAGTCTGTGAATTTAAAGAAACCTGTACCAACCTTCATACATATTTCCATGCAGCCCACCCTAAATTGTTTGTGTTACATTCACCAACACATGCAATTTTTGAACACATTTCCTCTTATATGCATAGTATGAAGTAGTTTTTCAATTGGATACCTGGCCAGCAAAAAAAAAATTAATATTGAACTGTAACTGCATTTAGGTTTGTATATTGATCTAGGAAGTACAAATTAAGTCAGTCTTCACTAAAATACAAACCAAACAAATTTCTCTCCTATCCCTAATATATACATTGAATGCTTACTTGAACAAGATGAAAGTGCTGAACTGCCTTTTAAAAAATATGATAGTTACAAGATTGCCTTAACACCTCCAATATGTAATGCTGAAAAGGTAGCTTTGAAGCAAAACACCTGCAAAATACTTACTAATGATAGACCAACTGGGGGTTCAAGTTCTGCAATTTTCACAGCAGAGATACTACTGAGAGAAGCACCATTTTTCACCATACAAATTCTTTCTTCAAACTGACTCTACAAAAAGGAGGAAGTGGGACATTCAGAACTCACCACAAATAGTTAATTATCTAATATATTCAGTTTAAGGTAAAAAAAATCAAATCTAGAAATAGGATCTCTACAGCTAGACAACTGATAGTTTAGGTCAGGGGTCCTCAAACCTTTTCAACACAGGGTCAGTTGAAAGGTGCCGGCGGTGGGCATGGGCTGCCAAGGTGGTGCCGGCAGGGGGCACAGGCCGGTGAGGGGGCGGGGCTCGTGCACAGCGGGGCAGGCGGGGGGCGTGTGGGGTGAGGCAGCAGCTTGCTTGCATGGAGATCGTTTTCTCCAAGTGAGTCCACAACGATCTCCGTGTAAGCAAGCTGCTGCCTTACCACGCACCCAGCAAGTCCAAAACCCTGAGGCGGGCTGGATAAATGGGTGTGGTGGGCTGGATTCAGCCCGTGGGCCGAAGTTTGAGGACCCATGGTTTAGGTAAATCTTCTGGGTAGGATTTCTGCAGCTAGACAACTGACATTTTAGGTAAATCATCTGGGTAGAACTATTTGAGACCTCATACGGACTTCCAAGAACTTCAGGATAGGATTCTACATAAGCACTAGTTTGACTAATTCCAGATCACTGCAAATTTGGGATGCATGTATTGCTCACAGCAGTCAAAAGAAACAATATACAGCACTTTAAACTTGGTTTAATATGCTGATGTAAAAAAAAAAGCTTAATGCATTCATATACAGTCACTTTGTTCCTCTCTATCTACATGAGAAAACAAACCAGGAAGCTGTAGTTACATACAATTTCTTGTTATGTCCAAACCAGAAAAACTCTGCTTAATGTCTTCCAAACAAACCAGCATATACAGACACAATTAAAAGCAGCCTTATTCTGCTCACCCATTAACCATGGCTTCTGGTTCAGAAGTATCAGGAAGCTATATTTAACTGCAGCTTTCTGGTCTGTTTTCCAGCTTACTCAAAAGGAAAGCAAAGAGGCTAAGTACAGATGTATGAAGCTTGTTCTGATCGTTCAAACACAGCCCTTGTCAATATAATCAACTAAGAGTCAAGTCACTCCTACCATGAAGATAAGCCTATATAATTTGTATCTTTTACATGTTTACAACAGACATACCTCTGTCTTCCTGATTTCTTCCTTGATCTTAGAAATGAAGGACTCCCAAGAATCAATTTGTAACTTTGACTGAGACACGGTGGAGCGGCTGAAAAATTACACATTTTTAATACTATACCATTGTGATAATTTGACAATAACAGCATGTCCAAGGAAAAATGCTACTACAAACAACAGTCAACTTTGTTATCCATAGAAAATATTTTACATTTACTAGCTAGTTTTAAGAAGCAAGTTCAGTATAACTGTAGACATTATTCTAAATATGTATACCCAGCAATAGAACATATGCTCTAGTCTGAAGTACTGGAATGTGTAATATTTTAAAGCACAACCCCTTCTGTTAATGTTGAGGTGTCTAAAAAGAAGACCCCCACTCTATGGTGCATGTTTTAACATGGTGAAAGGGCTTCAGAGTGTTAGAGAAGCTCAGAGTAAGGCCACCAGGAGGGTTACCCAAGGCAGACTGGTCAAAACTCTGACCAAAGGCAAAGATGCAGCTACCTTCTTTGGATTAATGGTTACATCAGCAGAAGAGAATGGGGACAGAGGAACTTCTGGAGGACAATTACGGTAGTTAAAGATGAAGCTGGGGGAGGAAGCATCACAGAAAACTGCAGTGATCCTCAAGCTATCCCTGGTTAGTACTGGGCGGAAAAAAGCAATAGTAAAACACTTATTTTTTTTCCTTGAAAACCCTATAATACAACAAAATGAAACAAGATATAGTGACAGAAGATAAGCACTGAATTACCTACTGTGAAAGAGCAAAGGACGAGTACATATAGTACTGTCGCTAAAGAGATCAAAACCAAGAGGAAGTCTAGTGGCAGACATGAGAAAGTAGTTCACTCCATACTACTCCATCTTCATACACAGGACCACATAAACCAATTATTAGGAGAACCGGCAATACAGAAGCTCATTTTATTTTATTGTCATTTATGTAATTGAGTTCTAATGGCCAGTGATCTCCAGAGTTTATATGCATATAAACGATATGCCCATGTTTCTCCCTGTGATCTGAATGGCAACCTCCCCATATCTGGTGCCATCCAGACATTTTGGATTACACCCACCAACATTCCTGAGCACTTCCCCTACTGACTGATGCTTATCGAAGTCACAGTCCAAATTATCTGGAGTGCATCAGGCTGGAGAAGAATTTATGGAAACTTATGATTACACAAAGAAGCAAGATAATGATCTGGTGAATCACCCCCAATTTAATATTGCCTAATCCACAGAAGCAACAGATATCAACAGGTACAAAAAAATCCAAAAACCATAAAAGTCTGATGCCAGGAGCTCCTGGTTGCACAAAATTGGTTATGGTAACAATATACTGCCCAAAGAGTCATTAGTTAAGCACACATTACATCTTTATATAACAGTAGCTTCAGTTGAAAAAAAGGCAGACAAAGTTCTGGTTTTTCTTTTGAAGGATCTTTCAACAATTCTTTCTACAAGTCTTATTAAACTGAATCTGTTGTAGCTTATTCATACACTTTAAGACATACCTAGTCATGAACTTAAGGTATTTAAGATTGGCTTCTGCATTTCTTGCTCTTCTATGTAATTTATATAATTCAGTCTCTTTCCAGTTTTCAAGCACTGACACCTAAAATAAAATTCACTGAGTTTTAAATCAAAACATTTAGCTGGACAAAACAATGAATCAATCTTAATTCTCTAAGGGACAACTAATCCTAAACATTTCTTTCCACTCATCTGCTTGTAACATTATTACATTTAATGAGGGTACATGGCCCTAGTGACTGGAACTGTTATTTTGTTCTGCACTACTAACTTATGTTCAGTTCAAGTTCATTAGAAAGGAAGGGCACTCTATTAATCTAGATCAGTGATTCCCAAAGTAAGTGGTACTGGGGGCAGTAGAAAGATCCGGGGGTGGTGGTGTGGTGATAGGTCTATTGTTTTACTGCAAATTTAAAACAACCAAATACAAAAAAGAGGCATAAGGGCTCTAGGGTTATCACCTAAGAGGAAAGGGGTCACCAGCCCAAAAATGTTTGGGAACTATGACTCTAGATGCATAATAAATGTGCCCAGATTATATTGAGATAATGATAAGTCTAAGAATACATATTCTAAATCCAAATGATGTTGATTGTTTTAATGTAGTAAAGCATCGAAACAGCAAGAATAAACAATAAATTCAAATTATTATAATGGCTTACAGGATAAAGCAGGTTTCATTATGACTTACCCAGAATGTGCCAAAACAAAAAAACACCCTTCAGGGCAGAATTTTAAAAACATTACACCAGTGCAAAAACAAAAATTTTAAGACTGTGTAGGAGCAGCCACAAATGAAAAGCAAAAACCAACCAGACAAAAGTTAACTGTACTGATCATGATCTAAATGTTTATCTAAATAGAAATGAATCAAATTATACAAATGTCCTACAGAACCGTTCTGACAGCCTCTTACAAAATAATTCTTTGAGGTATGTGTGTGATATACTTTATGCTTAGATGTTTTTCCACACTAAATAGAGAACCATTCTACCCAATGTTGCAAAATAGGTTTTTTAAAAAGCATGAAATATTTGACTTTAAAGGTTTTGATAAAGTATAAACCCAAAGTCAGTCAGTTCTAGATACGTGGAGGAAAGACAGAGAACATTCAAGAGGTTCTTGCTCAAATGCATTGTTTTGAGTCTCAGTGTATTAGCAAACTCCAAATAGTATGCCTTCCCTCTAGAACAGACACAGTGTTATATTTTCCATGAATCTTTTAGGCAAACAACAACAGATTGTGAAGGCAATGAACAGTGGACAGGACTCTGAGACATAAAGCAAGGTTCTAGTATAGTATCTTTTACCTCTGCTGCAATAGCTCGCTTAACACACTCCTGGTGGTCATTGTGACTTTTCTTTATAAGTTCTTCCATTTTTACTTTTTCATTTTCAGACTTATTACTGTGGAGTAAATGCAAAGGCTGTTAGCAGTACTTGAACATATTGCCCTGCCTATCTTGGAGGACTGAATTAAACATTAGAAATAGCTTAGCAATTTGTTATTTCCTAGCATGTGTAAGTGGCAACAAATAATGGATGTGTAATTAGGACTAACCAACCATGCAAGCTTAATCTGATTTATAGGGTAATGTTTTGCCTTATAACTTCCAACAAGGAAACAGACTGGATTCTCCTATTACACAAGCTCTTTAGGGGTTGGATGAATTCTTAGCATTCAATGAAAGCTATACAGCTCCCCACTCCCAATAATGATGATCCTGCTTTTAATGTCCAATTAAAAACCATTTTAAAGCAAATTTAAATTTACCTGATCTCAAGGAAGTCATCCAAATATCGTTTGTACTGCTTATCCTTCTCATCATTATTTCTTGTATATCTGTTTTGTCATAAAGATAAATGTTAGAAAAAAGAAAGAAAACAAACCTATGGAACACAAAACTGGGCAATCACACCCAATACACAGCATTTTGGAAGCAGGCAGCTATTCACTTTTTCTCCCAAAACTCAACATTCTTTTTAGAAGACCAAGTTCTCTGCATCAAGCGGTATGACACAAGCCACAAAATATAGAACATTTAACCAACCAGAAACAGAGTAAAACACATGGGTATGGAATTGGATGATAGTTAGAATTTGTTAAGAAAAGTTGAGATATAAAAAAGAACCATTAAAAGGTTCACACTAGAAAATTATGGAAAACAAACAATTCAAAGCTGCAGACACTGAGTACTATGGACTGTTGACAATTTCTGCAAACTGCAGTGAAATAGCCAGTTTAATAACTGACTAATGAAACCTACTACAAAGTTCTTCCACAGAAATATAGCCTACACTGGAAGCAAGAACAGAATCAAGATCAAATAAATGAGGAGCCATGGATCAATAGCAGCAAGTATAAGTATAGTGGGTGAAGCTGAGTGGCATCATGCCTTCACAAAGTATTCATGTAGTCTCATAAGGGCGGTGTAACACAGCAAGTACCGGTGCTTAATCGTCTTATTATCTCCACTGCCTTCTTCAAATGGAGGCTAACAGGATTCATTTCAACAAGTGAAACTATCAGTGCAACTCCATGCAAATTTAGACACTTTTTGGTAAACATGTCTAAGATGACTGTAACTACTAGAGGCTGCCCATCTTTTATATGTAGCTTGTGCAATCAAAAACGAGATGAGATGTCAAACAAATAGAATTTCCATATTAATGCAGAACTTTTACATCTGGAAATACAGAGAGGACCAGAGGAACACTACACAAGCAGCATTATTACTAAATGCTGCTGATTATTATTGTCAAGTTTAAAGCAGGTGAATTACGCTGAATATTCAGATACTAGTTGAAATCTACAAAATATGGGAGGATTTACATAGCTTCCCTATCTCCATCCTCATTCCCACATCCCACAAACCTGTTTTATTTTTGGAATAAACTTACATTTCATTGGTTTCTGTTAACTTCCTTACTTTAGTCTTTCCTACTTTTAATCTCTCTTGATTTTCCTTTTTTTCCTGCTGCCATCTTTTCATTTCCATTTCTACATCTTGGTGAAACCAATCCAGTTCTTTTTTGGTAAGCTATACAACAAAAGTAAAGAAATTAGATACTTTTCTAAAAAGATATCCAAGTGACAAAGAACTGAGTTACAAAAACAGAATTTATGAATGGTTCTGATTACATGTTTCTAAATAATGCAATAATTAAAATGACATTTTAAACTCTAGATAGAAAAAAATGCTGCTGGAGCTAGGCTTTATAGCCAGAACTAATACAATGATCCTGAATACAATTTTTTGAACCTAAAGGATATATATTCCAGCAATTTTAGTGGCATGTACTTCCATATTAAGTTTTGGATCCAAATGATATGGGTTGGATCCAAAGAGTGAAAGGAAAACAACTTGTAACACAGTTTTGCAAATGTTGACACAATGCTATAATAAACAGGTTTGATGACAGCTCTCTAGCTTGCAGAAAGGACAACACAAGCAATTCTGTTGGTTTAGTATCACATCAAGCTGTAAGCAATATGTAAAACAGCCCTTCCCTGAATAGGAGGACACCTCTGGATCCAACTGAAGTTTAAATCTGAACTGAATGGATAGCCAGTTTTCCTTCCCTTCATAAGCATAATTGCTTACCATTTAAGAAAATTACCTTGTTTCCTTCAATAAGAAGTAATAACTCATCTTCTAAAACACTAATTTCTTTGGCGCTTCGACTTTTAAGCTGTTCATATTTTTCACTTGCTTCTTTAAGTTGTTCTTGTAGTACCTGGTGTTCTTTTTCCATACGTAACGTATCACCCTGAAAAAGCACAGATTATCGAGTGCTTAATGCTACGTTAGGACCTCTATATGAAAGAACAGCTGATTTAGGATTGTTCTTGCTGCTATAATGGAAAAAGATCTACACATGCTCCTTTCTACAGTATTTTTTTTTTTCATTTTTCAAGCCAGAGATACCATTAGTGATTCCTCCAGGCAATGAGGCTTAGAGGACAAGCAGACCCCTAGAGGAACACCCCAAAGAAACCCAAGGAGACACCAAAGACTGGATGCCACGTCATCACAGGAAGTTCTTCATCCCTACACTAAATCAATGGAAGAATAGCATTACATGTAATTTTAGATATCCATGTCTCCAGGAATTCATAGTCCAATTGGAAAACTTAAAATAACAACATGGTAAGTAAACATGCACATATTTTTAAAACAACCTAAGAGTGCCTCTTTGCAGCTAAGCTATTTATAGGAACATCAGTTTCTTCAGTTACTAGAAATGATCCAGTTTAAGATATGCTTTTGCTCTGTCATGGGGCCAGCTGTGAATATCCACTCCTTTACTTACTTGTTGAGTTTCATATGGTTGGAGAGGTAAAGTATTAACTCCCTTGTCTGTTAGTTCTTGATCTACCTAGAATACACAGAACCAGAAATGGTTTGAACAGATTAGTTAATTCCATCAATCCATGGGCACTGCACTTTCCAACAGGTCTGATCTGTTACAGAATATACACAGAGCTCTAACACTAATGAATTAATACCCTCAACTAGAAGAATAAACAAATGTAACTGTGTGGCAGAGCAGAACTAGAGCTTACTACAGAGAGGAGTCTGTTGAAGAGCCTTATTTCTTCCCTAGAAGCAGCACCTGCAAAAGAAAAGTGCCATAGTGTGCTATAAAAGGCTTTGTTCTGTGGAATCTGGGAGAATAGGAAGAACCAGGAACAAGCAAGTGCTTTCTAATAATAAAGAATGTTATTTTGCTTGGCTGCTACTGCTGCTCAGTAAATATGTACACAGTTGTAGCATTTATTTCCCCACTGAGGAAATAACTTTTTAACTTCTGGTTGAAGCTAAATATGCAGGCCCACCACCACAAACTGCAGTAATAAAAGCAGAATCAATAAGGTGAGCCAGTGCTTTGTAGTCCCTGAACACAAGCACCTAATTTTGAATAAAACAAAAATGCTTTCTGGATGATCTCCAAAACAATTGTGAATGCTGTGTTGCTATCTACAATCACTGTATGTGTGTGTTTGTCTGTGTCCTAGTCCCACAGCAGAAATGAGTTTGCTTGTAAGTGCTGGCCCCTTCTAGGCCAACACAAGTGCACAGCAAAGCAAGCACACAATGCAACAGACTATAACACAGAGAGGGAGATATAAAATGTAGCAAGAACACAGGAGTTAAGCTTGGCTTAGGCCTGGTTTTATACCAGACAGCAAACACTGAAGGATACCTTTTCTCCTCCAATCTGCCCCTGGCTATCCACACTCCAGGTTAGCAGACCAGAGGAGTGGACTACAAGCAGCACAATATCATAGAAATAAGGACTTAGGCAGCAGCCACCATGCCACATTCCTTATTTGTACCCTCCCACTTCAAGCACTAGGTAGAAAGATGTCCCAACTCAAGGCTGCAGTTTACAGAACAGGGCTTAGGAAAGTAGGACTGCTTACCTGTAACTGTCATTCTGTCAGTGGTTATCTGAGCATTCACACATATAGGCTCTCTGCATGTGTGGAGCTTGTTCAAGAAAATAATCAAAATGTATAGCTACAGAGTGCAGAGGAGGAACTTCCCAATGTACTCATGATAGTGGGTACTATCTCCGGCACACTCAGCAGTCTAATCTGATAGCTGCTCATTTTTTGACCTTTGGCTGAGGGCCACAGATTGCCCACTGGCTATACAGGAACCCAATGAATTTGATTCTACAGCAACATAAGACCAGCATAGCCAAATGCAAAATTAACTACACACAGTTAATTTGAATCATTATTTTGCCTCTGAGCCACTTTACATGTTTTCTCTATAAAGAACGTGTATAAAACAAGAGAAATATGTACACTACCATATGTGATGATCATGTGCCATTTGGTGAGTGACAATTCAGGAAGCTGAGACTGGCAGTGAGTAGATCTGGTAGAGCAGTAATGTGTGAGAGCTTATACACGGCTGGGAACATGAGTTTTCTTCCTATACCAGTATACTTCTACAAATAGGCAACACAAGTAAGGGCTATTTAGAAGAAAGATCTTAATGCCCCTGATAACCACGATGGGGTGGTCACTGACCCCGAGCCAGACATCCTGGAGTATGAAGTCAAATGGGCCTTAGGAAGTCTTAGCAACAACAAAGCTAGTGGAGGAGACAGTATTCCAGCTGAGCTATTCAAAACCCTAAAAGACAATGCTGCTAAAGTGCTACACTCAATATGCCAGCAAATTTGGAAAACTCAAAAGTGATCATAGGATTGAAAAAGGTAAGTTTACATTCCAATCCCAAAGAAGGGCAATGCCAAAGAATGTTCAAACTACCACACCACTGCACTCATTTCACATGCTAGCAAAGTTATGCTCAAAATCCTACAAGCTAGGCTCCAGCAGTATGTGGACCAAGAACTACCAGAAGTACAGGCAGGGTTTCGAAGAAGCAGAGGAACTAGAGATCAAATTGCCAACATATGCTGAATCATGGAAAAAGTTAAGCAGTTCCAGAAAACATCTACTTCTGCTTCATTGACTACGCTAAAGCCTTTGATTGTGCGGATCACAACAAATTGTGGGATGTTCTTAAAGAGATGGGAGTACCAGACCATCTTATTTGTCTCTTGAGAAACCTGTATGTGGGTCAAGAAGCAACAATGAGAACTGGACATGGAACCACTGATTGGTTCAAAATTGGAAAAGGAGTATGGTAAGGCTGTATATTGTCCCTCTGCTTATTTAACTTATATGCAGAGCACATCATGAGAAAGGTGAGGCTAGATGAATCACAAGTTGGAATTAAGATTGCCAGCAGAAATATCAACACCTTAGATATGCAGATGATACCACTCTAATGGCAGAAAGTGAAGAGGAACTAAAGAGCCTCTTGATGCGGGTGAAAGAGGTGAGTGCAAAAGTTGGCTTGAAACTCAACATTAAGAAAACTAAGATCCGGTCCTATCACTTCCTGGCAAATCGATGGGAAAGAAATGGAGGTAGTGACAGATTCTATTTTCTTGGGCTCCAAGATCACTACAGATGGTGACTGCAGCCAAGAAATTAAAAGACAATTGCTCCTTGGGAGGAAAGCTATGGCAAATCTAGACAGCATGCTAAAAAGCAGAGACATTACCCTGCTGACAAAAGTTGTATAGTCAAAGCTATGGTTTCCCCAGTTGCAATGTATGGCTGTGAATGCTGGACCATAAGGAAGGCTGAGCACCAAAGAACTAAGGCCTTTGAATTGTGGTGCTGGAGAAGACTCCTGAGAGTTCCTTGGACTGCAAAGAGATCAAACCAGTCAATCTTAGAGGAGATCAACCCTGACTGCTCTTTAGAAGGCCAGATACTGAAGATGAAACTCAAATACTTTGGCCACCTAACGAGAAGGAACAACTCATTGGAGATGTCCCTAATGCTGGGAATGATTGATGGCAAAAGGAGAAGGGGATGGCAGAGGATGAGGTGACTAGATGGAGTCACTGGGGCAGTGAGTGTGGGCTTGGGTGGTCTCTGAGGGATGGTGGAGGGCAGGAGAACCTGGAGGAATGTTGTCCATGGGGTCATGATGAGCAGGGCATGACTTTGTGACTAAACAACAACACATTTAAGTCTGAATGCACTGTTTGATATGCATATTCACTCTGAAGTCATATACATTGAAATCCCCTTTTGGTGAAAATCAAACAGATGTAAGATGTGAGACACATGTCAAACATTCAGCCCTTCTAGTGCTACTTCCTAGATAATACAGAGGTCCCAAAAGAGCAAAACTAAAAATCTCAGTTAATCAAACCCACTGTGAAGCTGCATGATGTATTACTTATATAAAATACGGTGCTGCGGGGGGAGCAAGTCTGTTCACTGAGGAATCCAGTGTTACACAATAGGTATTATTCTCACCTGAATTGCGATCATCCTTGAACGGGGATTTTTTCTTGCTACAGTCTTATACTTTGTTTCTGTTTTGGCAAGGGGACTATACTCAGCTACATCACTATGATTCTCAGCCTGATCAGGATTATTTTCACAAGGCTGAATATCACATTTCACTGGCATGGACAGAGAATTCTGGAACATTTGCACTTCATCATTTGTTGCATGATTAGCAATGCTGTAATTGCTGCTTGATACTGTTCCTGGATCAATATTAAGGTAAGCATTATAATCCACATATATATATTTAGAGTCTTCTGAAATATCTGGCACAAGTGGTATCTGAGTAAGCACTGGCAAAGTTCTTTCATTTTGATACTCTGATTGAATCTCATTCAGAAATAATGGTCGATTTTCAGGAATAACTGAAGGCAATGATTCTGCTATAGAGTCGGTTGTCTGACTAGAAAAAGAATACGTGGAAACAAAAGGACTAAAAGAGGAATGGCTGGTAGTCATATAATCCGGAGTATTACTGGCTACTGCTGCATTAGTAGATATTGTCACACAGGGCTGATTAATGTAAGACATGGGCTTGAATTCCTTAGCATCTGGATTTAAATGAAGTCTGGTTTGGGAATTATTTTCTTTACTATGTAGGCAGACTGAGCAATTTTCTTCATTTTTAGTTCTTTCATCCACTCCAATGACATCTGCATTTTCCTTCAGCATGACTGCATGTTTCATCAAGCCAATAAGATCACCTATCATAACAAAACGTTGAGATTCCAACAGAAAAGATTTCAGGCCACCAGCATCCTCTACAATCTTTTGAGTATGTTCAGGAAAATGTGCATATTCTCCAACTAACAGCTGGTTATCAATTTCCATAGGGCCATATTCTTCCAAGATTTGAGAAAAATAGCTGTGAAAGTAATCAAAGGTATATTTAATTTCAATAGGAAGCTGTGCAATCACTACTAATTTATTATTTCATGTATCAGCTTACATGAATATTATAAAACATGACCAATTTAAAGAGAACCAGTAGGAAACTGAATAGTTTTAAATAAAGTGTAACACTATGGACCACAATATGAACATCATATCTAACTATATCTTATGGAAGCTAATAAAGCAATTTTGAGCTACACACTATAAGACTGTCCAGTTGGATCCCTCTACATTTTCACTAAATGCGTTCAGAGGCAAGGAGTGAGGCTGTGTCTGCTGGACTTGCTTTCCATATTGGAATGCCTGTAGGCCACATATTGGCAATCTCCAGGCCAGAGGGCAGAGCTTCTGCAAGGCCCCACAAAGGCAGCCCACACCTTTGTAGGCTGGGAGAACTTCCACAGGGCAGATTAGGCCCATGAGTTGGAAGTTCCTCATGAGTGGCATAAACTAGTATCAGGACCATCTGAAACACAGAAACAGAGTAAGTCAGAAGGGTCCTCCTGGGCCATCTAGTCTGACCCCCAGCTCTAGCCGGCTCCACTCATGACATCCCTACCATGTACATGTCTAGCCTATCCTTGAAAAAGGATATTCTTGAACACATGGTGGGCATGTCATGAGCACTGTTGAAACACATGCTATTTTTAGTATTAGCAGCTTTGTGCCAAACCATCATGTTGCTTTTGAAAACCAAAGAATTTTTCAGACACAATTGTTTCAACAGAAAATATGAGAGGCAAAACTCCCCAAAGCAGTAAATGATGCTTAGCCAAGGCAAAATGTCGAAAGTATTAAGAATACTTATTCATCACAGCTGCTCCTTCCCTGTTTTCTTTTAAATAATACACATAATAAAGTAGGACATAGCAACATACTCATACAAGCTTTCACAAGTTGGGTCTGGATAGTTGTCCAGAATGCTCTGATAATCGCTACTGGAAGAAGCATTATTATACAAAGCTTCAAATATCTCCACTTGTTCATGAAGACCATCTGGAATCCTGAAAGGCTCATGCAGATTCATAAAACTTCTGCTGAAGAGTAACAACAACAGGCATTAAGAAAAGCAGGTTCTTTATAATTTGAAAATGCATGATTTAAAGTAAAAATTAAATAGTGAACAGTGTATACTTCACTTGTTTGTTTTATCCATGGACTTAAACAATGATAATAAAATACAACATACAATCTAATCATAAGAAAAAAAATTAGAACAAAATTAATGAATCCTTAAAAAACGGTAACTAAACCACCTTAGCTGTCAAACTTACTATCTAAAATATGAGCCCAGAAGTAGCTTGGATGCTATTTTACAGCTGTTAGGGAAAAATAGCAAATGTTTTGACCAATGAGCACCTCCACCATTAAGAATAAAATTTTCATCTTATCTCTTCAGAGATGGAACAATGAAATAATTTCAGTATTACCTTCTCTAAAAAGGAATGGCAGAAATTTAAGAAAAAATGTACAGTGCTTGTCTGAAACTGCTGATGACATTTGCTGAATGCTGGGTGCAGTATAGCTATTAGTATTAACAATATTTTTAATCCACCCCATAAAAATGGTTTCTGGACAGATAAAGATTTTCCGAAGTAAAACTTTTCAATTTCTTCTTCTTGGTGTATAGACTTGAATGATGGCTATGTTCAAAACTTTCTGAAGAATTCAGTTATGATTTGGTCAGACTTTGCATTATAATTCCCTATTGCCCGTGCTACATTAGAGCCACTCCATTTCTTCTGTGTTTGTCATTTCTAGAGAAAAACATTTTGACTGAAAATGTCTCATTCCAGCCCACTTTATTTCATTCACACCAAGTGCTACAATACTTAACTACTCCATTTCTTGTTTAAGGGTTTTCAATTCCCCTTGATTGATTCTTCTTACATTCCGTGTTCCAATTGCATGTGTTGTTCAGCAATAGACTTTCCTTTTACTTCTGTGCAGGTCTGCTGCTAGACTTCCTTTTAGCGTTGATTTAGTTGAGTCATAAGTGCCACACTAGTTCATACCTGTTCTTTGCTCTTCCCCAGTTGCTAGTTCAGTGCATTCTGATATGGGAATCTCATCTTGTGGCACTATGTCTTGTTTCATTTGCGACTATTGTATAACAGGGTTTTCAAGGTAAAAATATTTAGAAGTAGTTTAACTATTGCATTCTTCTGTCCAGTACTAACCAGGGGAAAAAAAAACTTGTGCATCACTGCTGTTATCTTTGAAAAATCCTCCGCCAGCATCACCTTCAACTACCACCACCTACCAGTAGCTGTCTACTCCTGCCTCCATTTGAGATACTCATTCTTTTTTTGGTAATGTGACAGTTATTCCTGAAGAGGGTAGATGCATAGGGTCTGAGTTTTTACCATTCTGTCTTGGGTGACTCAACTAGAAGACCAACCTAGTGAGAGTCTGGCAGGAATGCTGCCAGGAAGGAGAGTGAGAGCCCTGGCAGGAATGCTCTTGGCTTCTCTCACAGTCTCAATCCTGCTCACTATCTTTAAGGTATGCATCCAAGATGGAGATCAGGACTAGAGATTTCCATTAGCAGGGAACACCATCAGATATAACCCACTGATAATTTTAAGCGAAAGGTTTATCTATACAGTACTTGATATGCTAATTGCATGCTCCAGGTTACAAAAAGGGTATGTGAGTGTGCACAGCTTGCCATAACCAATGAGTTTAGGAGGATTTAAACATCCTTAATTTTGGCTAGACTGTCTTCTATGCACTTTCATTCCAGAACTTACAATGTATTTTCTTCTGAAAATAGATAGTCATCTTCTCTAGTTACTGTACCAACTCGACCAGACACAACTAAATTAGCCTAGAGGAAGAGAAAAAGAAAAACAATAAAACGTGTTTTATACCGACAGGTTCAGATCCAGCACAGCATACATCAACATTGTCTTATTTCTGTATATTAAGTCTCATTTAGTTAATAATGTATATATTATACACTTTGTTTTCTTTGAATTTGGAAAAAAAATGGTCTCAGAAGGGGTATTGCCTCTTGTTTCACATGAAGGAGATAATGTGTCTTCTAAAATGACACTGCTATAACAAACCTGTTCATCTAAAAATAAAGTATGCTTCTTAAATTTCTAAAGTTAAAATTCTATTCCCATGAAAATTGTGCAAATATTTTAAAAATCGATTGGTTAAAAGCCATACAATTATGTCCTGTGCTCCTAAAACCCTGAACAGTGAGAAAAAGAAGTTTTCCCACATCACTTCCAATCCTTCTAGTGGACTTCCCACAACATGGGATCCAAGCTGAAAAGTATCCAAGGAATAATAAATAAGTACAGGAATAACAAAATCCTTCTTTGATTTTCAGAATAGTATTCAAAGAAAAGTGTTTAAGATGTGACGAATATAAGAAATTGGACAGAAGAGCACCTGGGAATTTACTAATTTTGTTTCTGTCATTAAATCCTAACAGCGAAGAATATCTTTTAAGAATAAAAAATTACCTTTGATCCCTTTGCCTTCTTTTGGTTTCTTTTTTTAACTTTGATAGTGTTATTCTATAAAAGCAAGAATTTTTTTAGCACAGCTTATCATTTACAGTATGCCAAAATATAATAAAAGAAAAGAAAAGAATACTGCTCAATTTTACTTGCACTTTCTGTCTTCCATTCTGTGTTTTCCCTAGCAAAAAAACCCAAGGTCTACATTTATTTTCCAATTTCTACAGTACCCCACCTTGGCAAGTTCAAGTTGTTGGATGTCCTCGGTCATAAGCATTCACATATACTGATATTTACTTGGCAACAAATACATGCAGTTATGTGGCCCATATGTGAAAGTAGTCATACAGAAAAATAATCATCTTCTTCCTGCTCGCAGAATATTAAAGTTTATTCATGTTTCTGTTTCAACAAAGATCAAGAAGAAAAGCAAACTTACCAAAGTAGTTTCAGTTCCCTCCTTTGTTATTACAGTAAAAGGATTATCTGTTTTCAAAATATATTTACAATATTGTAAGGAAAAAGATAAGACCAGGATACAAAGAAAATTCCAAACTTTGTACCAATACTACCATGACTTTATCAGATCCTTTTAAGCCTATGCACAACTGTGGAGGACTAGGTATTTATAATAGACACATTAACTATTCCTTGATCTGTCGATCCATATTAGCATATCACATTCATCAACCTATAAACAAGCCAATCCTAAGCAAATGATTAAAACTGTATGTGGCTGGTGTATGGCAGGTGGCACTTCTGCTCATCCCCAATAGCACATGAGTTGTTTAAACCATGTGCTGCTGTTATGTGGACTAAAGAGATTTATATGAAATATTTGGACACTTAATTCAAAGCCATCTCCACAGAAGCTTTTGCTGGTCCAGCAGGAAATGTCCCTACCCCAACTCAGCAAGTAAAAAGTATGATAGTGCCTGGGATTTTGCATATCCTTCCATATGAAGGCTGACTTATTTGTAAAGAATCTACAGCTCTCCTCATTTGACTCCATGCATCACAGTCCATCACATTCTCCCTCAGAAACACCTAATGAGGTCATATAAGCTCTTGGTGTAATAGGGAAGGATAAACATTAATATAGCAGGAACACCATGCTCTTGGGAAGGTATATTTCCTGAGGCTTGTAATCAGAATATTAAACGCATGACATACAGATATGCACTTAGATCAATGCATTGTAATGAAGTTTTAAAGGGGAAACCCAGTCTTTTACTTATCCTGGTATACTTACCAAGGTTATCAAAATAGTCATCTAAGAATTGATGAAGAAATGGGAAATTCTCTCTATTCTCTTCTAACATCCATAGAAAACAACGAATTTCCATGTATGATAGCTCTCTAAAGTAGTCTAGTATGTCAAATGTATCTTCAGATGTGAAGCTAAACATCCTGCCCAGTTTGAAACCATATTTCTCATTCCAGAGAACTGCTATTAAACTAAGATCAAGATTTACAAAGCATGTTCCATGTTCAGCAAAAAATATTTTTGTAGCTTTTAAACCTGCAAGACAACAATAGTAACAACAACATAAATTCACATCAAGATACATATTATGCAATCGGTAGACATATGCAAATTGATTACATTTTAAGAAGTTATTTGTATCCACATTTGCCTGAACAGCTTATTTTGGGAAGAATCCTGACAGTGCAATGTAATGTAATCCAATTTTATCATCCTGTCACTATTCAGAGCAATTAAATGGGAGATGCTGAGGTACTTAGCATCTGTAATTTAACTTATTGTTATGGTGGTTTAAAATGGGCTGGGGGTTAGTGGCTGATGAACTATATCCCTGTAAAGTAGGGCTTTAAGAGCCATCAATAGGTGAATCCACCAATGCCCTTCCATGGGCAGAAGAAATTTTGATCTGTTGCATATACTGCTAATTGAAACAGGGTATGGAGGATGCAATTTTTAGCAATTTGTCTTCCTCAGTACAGCCCATGCAAAAACACCAGTGAAAATTAGATGCCTCTCTTTCAGGTTTGTTTGTTTGGTTTTGAACAGTTACTGCAGGTACATACATTTCCTCTCCATTTATTTCCCAATCCATAAATTGGTGAAAATTACCCCTTCACTTACTTCCCAGCCATTACATTTGCCTATATTTCTTTAGGTTTTTTTAACGAACAGTCAGAGAATAGCAATAACTTCTCCAAAACAGGAGCCATAAAAACTGAGGGGAAAATGGGTATCTTCCCTTTCCAGAACAGCTAAACACTACAGGAAATGCTCAAAAGGAGGCTGATACCAAGAAATCACTTAAAACTACAGAGATAACATCATGAACAGGGAAATTTTGTGTCACCACCCCTTGCTTTTGGTGAACTGCTTTAAAGGAACTTTTTAGCAGTTGGATTCTGGCAACTGTGCCCAAATTAGCCTCTATTCAGTGTCACATGTCAATTTTCTTGTCTGTTACCTACTCTACTTTGCTGCTTCCTTGGACAACTGAAACGGATAAGGAAATTGACCAGGTAAGATTACACATATCAAGCAGCTATAAAGAGTGTGCCTGTGAAAGGGGTGTATGTGAGAGAGAGGAGGGGGGAATTTTCAAGGACTGGAAAAGCAAAATATACCCCAGTTGTGTTTTTTGAGGTTCTGAGGTCCCCCCCTTTTCTTTTTTTAAAGTAGTGACTGAAAAGAGTAGTGATCAGAACAGGAACTGGGAGACAAGATGAGTTCAGCTGGATATTAAGATATATTCTGGAGAAACAAAGAGGACAGAGAGAGGAGTAGGGGAACAACACATGTGAGCACAGTCATTTCTGGGCCTGCAAACAACCAACCCACCATGGCTTATGTTCAGGATGACTTAGCATGACATGCAAACCTGCCCAATGACAACACATGATGTCAACAACCCAACAATAAATCATGGGTTCTCTTTCTGAGATAATATTATCTGTCAACCAGTTAAGTAAGCGCAACCAAACTGAGATCGATTATGTGGCTTCTGGAAAAATAAAGGTTTCTGCCTGGGCAAATTAAGAAAGATACTTAAAAGCAAAATCACTGGTACTAGAAGGATTTGTGCTATGGAAGTTTTTTTGAGCCACTCTACAAATTTTGTTGGAAGAAAAGTAGGAAAACAAATTTAGATAAAATAAATTTACTTCTCCCCAAATCTTGCTTGCAAACCACTAGAAACAGCAATAATTACTTACAAACTGGCAAACTAAGTTAACAGATAAGCTTACACATTATAAACGTAGCTGAGAAAGCAAGAACCCAGGAGATTTACTCTTGGAAGAACTGCATCCTTATTGCAATAGCTTCAACCACCAAAAAAAAAAAAGTTAGAAATGCAGTACTTGCTGCAGTATACTGACAAACTTGACCCGTTTTCTGAACAGCCCCAGTACGAATATTATTTTAATTTCTTACATTGTTTTATTGACTATAGAACATTTAAAACCAAACAATTTTTTTCACGACCATGTTTCTCCACCCCTTTTCTTTTCTAGCAGATCAAAATGAAAAACTTATAAAGGACAATCCTTTATTGAAGCTTAACAGGTTTTGCTGTGTTACATGAGAGCTGTTAATGATCTGCGTACATCAAAATGGTAATCCCTCGGACTGGTTTGAGTAGCCTCCGCACATGTGCAGAGTTGATTCCAAACTAAAATGGTCCCCTCCTCCTTCCTTTCCCAGAGCCTCAGGATGGTTCCTGCTGCTTGTGGACAAAATGATGGGAAAGTCTGATGTTATATAATTGATCTGCCTGTTTAGGTTGGTGCCACCTCACTGGATCTAGGAATGCACTCTCCTCACTCACACTTGCTCTCGCCCATGCCCAGTACAGTTTGGTTCTCAGTCGCTGCTTGATTATTCTCACTTGTTCACCTTGACTCTGCAGAGTCACGTGACAATTCCTCATTTCCTTCTTCACATTCCAGAGAGGCTATATTGTTAAAGAGCTGGGCCTCATTGCTACAAATTTGTACTGCATCCACTTTTTAAAGGCATGAATCCAGGGCAAGGGTTGAAAATACACAGTCTTGACGAACATGAGTTACTCTGGCTCTTGTCAATGTCTGGATTATCTTAAGTTTCAAGACTAAACAAAGGCAAGGCAACAATGTATTACTTGCTCATACTAGTGTCTGGACTCATTTCAGGAGTGGCAGGACTATAAGATATTCTCCGTAAGAGGATACAGGGAGTAAGTTCCCAGGGAGGAGCAAACAACTGTTGCAGTATGCTGGAGCTCTGCAAACATGAAGGTTTTACAAAGCTATGGAATGCAGAGGACTTCTGAACTGCCCAGCAAGGACACATATTTCTCAGTGTCATATATCCTTGGCTTTCAGTATTTATTTTATAGACTTAAGACATGTTGTTGTTGTTAGTTGCGAAGTGGTGTCCGACCCATTGTGACCCCACGGACAACATTCCTCCAGGCCTTCCTGTCCTCCACCATCCCCTGGAGTCCACTTAAGCTCACGATACTTAAGACATAACTATGAATAAAACAAAGTGGATTTTGGAGATCAGAATTATTCCCATCATTTTATTTTTCAGGGGAGCATCAGCTGCCAACCTGTTCTCATATCTAAAATCAGCGAACAATACAAGCATTCTGAGAATAAAAGCCCTACAATGGAACTAAACTACAGGAAAAAATTGCCTTACCATTATTGTCGAGATGTTTCATCCAATCGTGCAGGTTAGGATCTACTTCTTCAAGCTCACTTAAAATGTGAACAAAAATTCTTGACTTCACTCTATCATTTTTAGTAATTAAGAAGTTTATGATCTGGTCCACCACTTCGATGGGTAATAGACAACTTGAAGAAATCTGCGCATAATCTTCTTCACTAAGTACCCACCATGAAAACAACTCATTAAGAAGTTTGAAGGTATCATGTACACCAGCCTGTATGTTTGCAGCCCGCTGCACAATAAGTTGCAGGACTGTATCCCCAGTAAAATAACTCTTCTGAATGCTTCCTAAGATAAAACAAGTAGAATGACTTCTAGGCTCCACAGAAAAACATAGGAAACCACATATAAAGAAATACTTAACATATTCACAAAATAAAGATTCATATACCTTTATGATTATTGTCTTTTGATATACAGTTTTCTTTGTGAGATACTTCTGCATGGTCTGTTACTGTGGCTGAGATAGCTTCTTTCAAACATTTTCTCTCTTGTTTTATTTGTAGATTCCTAGAACTGATTCAAACAACTAACTGTGACACTTGGCAAGAAATTCTTAAAGAAGTTCTGATAGCATTCCATCATCCAAATTTACCTTTAAAAATCAAGGCTACTAATATTTGGCACAAACAAATTCACATTGATCAATTGATCACATTTCTATGCCACCCCACAGCCAGAGTTTAGACCCCAAGAAGAGCCATCTTGAATGCGTAAGTCATAGGAGGCACTTAGCGAAGATGGCAATGTCATACATTCTTGCAACTTTCACACGAAGCCCATGTGAACTGACCGCTATATATACAGACTAATAAAGAGCACTGTGGGTGTGTCAGCGGCATGTCGCCATTGGAGGAGTATGGTCACAGCACCATGAGACTTTGGTGACCCAATTTGGCAACCCAGAGATGAAACTGGAGCCCTATTAAACCTTTATTTTGTTTTAATTATGATAATGACAATGGTGAAGTCACTTATGAAGAACTCTTTGAAAGTCTGCTTAAAAGGTTATAGGTATGAGTTGTTTTTCACTGAAAGTTTCTGCAAGTTTAAGTACGTCTTTAGTCATATTTCAGCACTAAGAATTTAAAATGCAGTAACAATAGAGGTTTCAAATAGATATTCATTGCTTTTAATGTGTTATGACCAGGTAAAGGGGTTATGAGTAACCAACCTTCACTGCAACACATTGGCTCTCAATCTGACTGGATCACATGTTTCTGTTTAAATGGTGCTGTTCTACAGTAACCTATTAGGAATTTCACATCATATACACCAGACTGTGTAAGTTTAAGGGTGCAGAGGGATAAACTTCTCAAGGTAATTTCTCAAATGTATTTATGGATATCAATGACAACATAAAAGCTTTTGAGAAATGACAATATAAAACTAGAAAAAATAAACAAGAAATTGAGGGAAAATGCTAATATTTTGTGAACTGGATAGCAATTAGGAATTTTTAGGCAAAGAATTGAAAAGAGTAGAAGGTGGGGGTAATAAAAGGAGTTCAATCAGAAAACACACTTACAGACACAGTTAGTAAAACTAATCAGCAAAGACTGATGAGTCAGAAAGACATTTAGAAGACCCAGATGATAAAAATATATGTACAAATAGTAAAAGTAGAGGTATCGAAGAAAAAACTGAAGGCTTGCATCTTTTAACATTTCTAAATGGCCTTCTTGTAAGCCCTATGTGAGCCAAGTCAGAAAGAATTAACATTATGACTATAAATAGATTCAGTCCAACTAACTGCATAGGAACGTTGGCAGAGATATATTAGTGATTTTTGAAAATAAAACTTCTAGGGACTTCATTGAGCAAGCCACATGAGAAAACCCTAATTCAAAAATTGATGGGAACTCTATTTTCTTGCTGAAATTTGGTGATAGGATTGTTTAATTTCCTTAGTATTTCTTGTTCAGAATAATTTGAGCAATCATGTCCACAGTCTAATTTGTGAATGTATTTTTGTGTAATATGTGGATGTGTGCATACATAATAAAAATGCATGTGCAACACCCACCCTTGAAACCCTTAAAGAGATTATAAGCCAGAACTGATGGAACTGCAGTTCCTTGCCTACTGTTACATCAAATGTGACACACAGAGACCCACAGGCACAGGAGACCTACAAACCACTCATGTCTGGAAATAAGCTGCCTGGCTGACACAGATGGCGCACTGTATGAATTCTACTCACAGGCTCCCATTCTACAAAATGGCATTTCTCATTGATCATATCTTGTGGTAATCCTTCTGCTTGAAAACTAATTGTTTTTATTACTTAGATAATGGAAAGTTAGGAAACTTACCTCAAACATTTTTGTTTGACAGTGGGCTTTGGAGGATTCTTGTTTTTTATTTTATGTTCAAACTAGGGAGGAAAAATAGCAAGTTCAAAGATCTCTTAAAAAGTATTTTATCAGAACAGTAAAAACATGGAATATTACTCTGTCATGAAATCAATTCCACATTGATATACTTTATCAAGACATAAAAAACCTTATCCAGTCTAAAAACATTTTTATTTTGCTTTTAAGCATTTTATGCTTTATTCAGAGTAGAAAAGAGGTTTCTTTTCCTTTTTTGAGGCAATGATATTCTGCCTTTCTGTTTTGCTTCATTTTTTTTTTTTGTTGACAGACTTCCAAAATCAATTAAAATGAGTGAATCTTGCTAATTAAATCCACTACAAAATAGGACCTCTGAAACAGTCTCAATTTTATTAAATTCCCCTCTAATAGAAAAGGTAATGTTGGGTCTAGCAACACAGGCCACTGGTGCTATAACATTCAGGGTGCTCTTAAATGTGGTCAAGAAATTGGGAGCAAATTACAGGATCATATAGTTCCTCTGATCACCTGTGTTCCCTTTTCTGAGTGAATTCTGCCTACTGAATTGATGGTCAGCACATGTTATACTGGCTTCAGAATTTAACTTTAGTTTTGACAAGAGGAAGAAATTCCCTCTGGGCAAAGAAGACAGGGAAGACAGTCCATAATCTTAGCTGCTGTACTTCTCTTACACATGAGCTACACTATACATATTAAGTGTCATTAAGTAAGCCTCAAACAGTCTGCAATGGAGGTGAAACCTTGCAGATGCAAGCAAAGTCTATTTTTTTCAATAAATATTGGGGACACAATCCCACATACTTACCTGTTAGTAAGCCCCACTGACTGTAATGGCCTGGTTCACACATAACATTAACCTATGGTTTTGGTTATCAAATTCCAGGTTGTTGTGATGTGTGAATGTGGCCAAACAACCCAACAACAAACCATACTGGTTTCTGTATGAATCTGTTTTTCTATACATTTCTCAGTCTTTCAGCCATTATTACAGAGTTTAAGTCCACATTTAATAATGAAACAGGTCTATAGAACTGCGGCAGAGTGGGATCATTACCTTCTTAATGTATCAATGGTATATGAGCTTCTTGCTATGATATGGGTAATACACTCTCATCTTTGATTTTGTTCATTACTTTTTGAAGTGGTAGTATTAATTTTTCCTCTAGGCATTTATAATGCATTGTGGAAAGACCATCTGGCCAGGTGCTTTGCCTTTTTTTTTTTTGTCTTTTAATAGCTTATGAAATCTCCTGGATAGCAACAGTGCCTTTGGTCCAATGTGAATTTGTCAATATGAGTTTCTTCTATTTATTGTTCCAGTCTATCTTTTGAAATTATTTTAAATACAGGTTTGAAAAAAAACCTTTGAGCTGATCATGTATTTCTTCCTCCACATGAGAAGTTCCATTGTTGTTCTTAATCAATCTCTTTTCCACCTCTCTTTTGAGACAGTACATAAGGTATCTTCCAGGTTTGCTTGTTCAAAGTATTTTTCTTTAAAAAATTAATTTCTTCTGAACTTCCTCTGTTTATATCAAGTCTACTTGATTTCTTAAATTGTCTGAGTTCAATTAAAATTGATTATCTAAAGACTTCTTATGACAGTCCTTCAATATTTGAATTCTTTCAAGGACCTTTGTAGTTTGTTCTAACTTTTTTTTCTGTTTTGAAGCCATTGCTATTAAATTCCCTTTCATGAATGCTTTACTAGGCTACCCATATTGTTGTTAGAGACATAATTTGTATTAATCAATTTATTTTTTTTCTAAATCTCTTTCCCATTTCTTCTTCATTTTGTAGTAAAAGATTGTAATTCAGTCTGCATTTTCTAGTTCCAAGTTGCTTTTCTTGCCAGATGATTTCTAATGGGTGGTGGTCCAAAAATAGATTGAATCCTTGCAGTCTTTAAATTCAATAACAAAGTTTTTGATATCCAGCACATATCTATCCCTGAGTATGTCTGATTTCTATCAGAAAAAAAGGTGTAGTTCCTGGGTTTTTGATTTTGAAATCTCCTTACATCTTCCAGTTGTAACGTACCCATAACTGAAGATATTTTTAGGAAGTTTAGGGTTTCTATACCACCTCATAGTTAAAGTTCTCTGTGCAGGTTTGTGAACTCTGACTTGCTTAAAACATGATTTATTTCTATATATTAATTCAGAACAGTGGGTTGCTATCTCAGACAACGGAATTTCTGTGTAAGAATGGAAAAAAGAAAAAAAAGAACACCCACTGCCCTGACAGCAACAAAAGGCCTTTTGAGATAGAGCAAGGGAGACTTCAAAGGTAAAGAGAAACAACCCAGTGACTGAGAAAACAAACCACAGTTTCATTGTCTGCAAGACAAACCCTGGACAGAGCAGCAAATTATGCATTAAATAAAACATCGGTAAGTTTTATGTCTGAATCAGGGCAATGAGGTTTAATTCTGAGATGACATACTTATGCTGCTTGAACTATAATCTATGTTTATCCTACTTAGAACAGACCCACTGAAAAGAATGGGACTTAACTTAGACTGATAACCCTCAATAACCTATTTGTATTGCTTGCTATATGTTGTCAGGAGCAGATCTTTCCCGCCACATCTGCCCTTTTCCCTCTCCAGAAAACTTAAGACAAACCCTTTCAAGCACAATTCTTTATCTATGCTTTACAGATTGCAAATAATGACCTCTCTGCAATGTGGGAATAGTGACTATCCAAATTAAGAGCTGAATCCAAACTGGAACAACCACTTCTTCCCTCCTTTTCAGAATGGACCTGACGGTACCCTCAGGGAGGCTCCCACTGCTCGAGGGCTAGATGACAGGAATGTCAGACACTTAACTGTCCACCCACTTTGCATGTTGTCTCCTTACATGGTCAAGGAGCTCCACTCAGTCACTAGCCTTCCCTCTACTGAAATGTCTTCTTCCTCTGTCTGAGTATCTTCACTCTGTAAACTTACAATTACAAAGCCCTTTGCCTTTTCCCCTCAGTATCTGAAGCATCTATGTGGAGAGAGTGTGATTTGAGAGAGCAAGCCAGTTTGGACCAGGCAGTATTATTTTATCTACAATTTTAAAAATACCAGAATGTCTCCTGACCCAGGATTATGGGCAGCTGGAAAAATCCTAACTGCCAGAATTGTATCACAGTACAATAACCCCATCTTAAAAACTCCAAGAAAATGAATTCTTACCTCACATTTAACAAGACCACACGAGCTGTAGACAACGATTTTAGAAATGAGGCCTTTACAATCTGGAGTGAAACATAGCTCTCGAAGAATATCCTGTGGGTGCCAGCAGAAATGTGTCTGTGGGTAAGATTTCACTTCAAGGACTGCAGAAATTATATTTTATTTTAAAAATGGATTTAAGAATCACACAAATGGCCAAATAACAGCATGTTGCTTTTCTTTCTAGTTTTATAATTCCATTTACTATAGTCGTATCTTAGCTAAGTAACATAGGTTGTTTTGGATCCAGACTTAATTTACTTGAAATTTGAATCAACTGAGAGTTATTCATTAGCTACAGTGCAAACCTATGCCTACTCAGAGATAAGTTTCACTGAATTTAACTAACCTAGTTTGGATCCAATCCATTATCTTTACTTCACAGAGTCAATAGATCCATTCCCCACCTAACTCCCTGATTCTGATACAAGCTGATTGCAAACTGAAAATAATCTTCATCTTTCTCATGAAATCCCTGTAGAAAACACATAATCATGCTGAATTTATTTTACACTAACAATTTTTGTCACAGATACACTGGGAATGACTATGCATATAGCAGCATCACTTTATAGATGACTGAAGTGTAGAAACAGTAGAGAGTGGCCATATTCAGACATCCTGTTAAGTCTGGAATTCAGTCGTAATAAACCATAAAATGTGTAACTAGGGTACTGGTGTATGCAGCCTGTACCCTCCTTTCTTCATGTGAATCGGTAAACAAACCAGGAAGGAATAGCTTTACATCATGTCAGATTTATTGTTATAGATGCTCATATGACCCAACTTAAATGGTTTTATGTTGCTTTGTGAAATCTGACTTGTTTGGGAGTAACTTAATCATAATCCTGAGTTCAGACTTAATTCAAAGCTATCCTTTAACTCCTTGCCCAAAGGCAGGAGCAATAGGTTAAATGTACCAGCACCTTGTTCTTTCACATCATGACTCATTAAGCCAGGATTCATGGCTTAGCACAAGCCCAAACACAGTCACAAATTCTTTCAGAGTTTGCCAGAAAAAAAAAAGACAAAATGCTTGCTTGAATACTTAATCAGTGCATGATTTTGATCACTGCACTTTCTTATATATTTAGCTACTAATACTTTTTGCAATGAACAATTTTAATTCATATATATCATGGTTTTCATATTTAGTAAGAAAAGATTAGAGAGTATTTGGAACAACCAACTTCCAACCAACCTGCTGACATCAGAACGACTTAGTGACTTCAAAACTGAGTACCAAAAAAACCCCTTATGTGCAGTCACTGCAATCACAACAAACTAATGGAAGGATTACAAAAGAATTAATTGCCTCACACATGAGAGTTTACATCTAGCTTCTAGTTACATTATTTAATCAGCTGAACCCTGTGTGACTCAAATATCCAAAACTGCACCTCACTGTGGGACTGCCATATTACTAGCATTAAAGTAGTACACAGAAGCACTACATGAAATGTCTAATTCTTGCATTATCCATCACTGTTAAAGTGTGAAATACCATTCCATGCAAAACCAACTTGAGCAACCTCCAAGCAAAAAAGAAGCATTGGACATTTGATGTTACCTTATCATTTTTATCACTATATCTTGTTGCTTTCAGTTTCTTCCAACAGGTTACATGAAACTCCACTATGCATTGTTCACAGCAAGCAACACGTATAAAACCCTAAAATTTGGAGATCACAAATTATTAAAATATTAGCCAAGTCCTGTTTTATACCAGTAATACTCTAAACATGCTGGACATTGGCTTATCACGAGAAAGTCAATATAAAACAAATTTCATATCTAAAACAATATTCTTGCAAATTTACCTTGAAATCTGGGTCACTAAAATATATTTTGATTTTATGTGCTTGGCACTGCTGGTAGCGACAAATTGCATCTGGATTTGGAGGAAACTTGCATTCTTCAATACAATCTTCCAGTATGACCTAAACACCAGGAATCAGAAGGAAATATGGTTGCTTTTTCTTTGGAATTTTGTACAAACAAGTAGTGGTATTTTTCTTAATTCAAACCAGCTTTGAAACACAAAATTGATGTTTTTGATGAACTTTCATTCACATGTTACTTCAATGACACTTAATTACCTCATTGTGAATGCACAGATTTATTAAGAAAAAACCTGAATATTGTCCTTCCTACTTTTTCCATTATTTCTGTACCTGACCAACATGATTTAACCTGATGTGTGGTGATTCATACACAGAAAATCCTCCATTATGCGTACGATCATCCTTCTGTAATAGTCACCAATCAATTTTATTTCATGTAAGCCCAAGTCAAAGAATAAAGTAAAACGGTTTTACACTCTCTGCTCCAAAGAGCCCCCTTCACCAGAGACTCTAAGGCCATAGGTCCTCAAACTATGGCCTGTGGGACGGATCCGGCCCGCCATGCCCATTCATCCAGCCCGCACCACCACCTGCCTTCCCCGCACACGCCCACTCGCCACTGCCTTGCAGTGTGGGCTGGAGGCAGTGGCTTGCTCACTCGGAGATGGTTTTGGACTTGTTGGGAGATCTCCCAGCGAGTTCAAAACCATCTCTGAGCAAAAAAGGTGCCGCCACCTGCCTCCCCTACGCATGTGTGCTCACCACTGCCTCACAGCATGGGCTGGAGGCGGTGGCTTTTTCGGAGATGGTTTTGGACTCACTGGGAGATCTTCAAGCGAGCAAGCCGCCACCGCGCACACCCAATGCCACCTCTTGCGCGCCCGACAACGCCTCACCAGCCCACGTGCCCAAGCCCCCCCCCCCTCACTGGCCTGCGTGTGTAGCCACCGCCTTTCAACTGCCCCCCTACTGAAAAAGTTTGAGGACCCCTGCTCTAGGCCAGTGATGGCGAACCTTTTAGAAACTAAGTGACCAAACTGCAACCCAAAACCCACTTATTTATCGCAAAGTACCAACACTACAACAAAACCTCAAAAACTGAGGTTTTAGTTTAGAAAAAACACCTCATAGCCTGTCCAAGCAAATACATATATATACCCTTGGCAGCGCACTGACCAGCCATGCGAAAGCTCGGACGAGTCACGAGCCTGGTGCCGCTACTCCTTTCCAAGCATGTGCATGGCCCCTATGTGCGCTGTTATCTGATGCTTGGCTGCTGGGGTGACTTGGTTCGCATGCCAAACAAAGAGGGCTCTGCACGTCTGGTGTGGCATGCATGCCATAGGTTCGCCACCGATGGCCTAACCTTACCCTGGTGCACTCCCCTAATCCTAATATACGGGGGGAAAACAATTGAAAGGGGGGATTTTGAAAAAGCCTTCCTTGAGTAGCTTTCTCTGCACAGCTCATCATTTCTGCACATTCTAAACACAATCCAACCATCAAAACCATGCCAGGACACTTCATTTTTCTAACCCTAACCCAGTGATGGTGAACCTTTTAGAGACCAAGTGACCAAACTGCAACCCAAAACCCACTTATTTATCGCAAAGTACCAACACTGCAATAAAACTGAAGTTTTAGTTTAGAAAAAACAACTCACAGCCAGTCCAAGCAAATATATGGCAGTGCACTGACCAGTCATGTGAAAGCTCAGACGAGTCATGGCCAATGAGTCGCAGCTTGTGACATCATCGCCTGGCACCACTACTCCTTTCCGAGCATGCGCATGACCCCTATGTATGCTGTTATCTGATGCTCAGCTGCTGGGGCGATGCTGGGGCGACTTGGCTTGCACACTGACAGAGGGGGCTCTGCATGCCCGCTGTGGCACGCGTGCCATAGGTTCACCACCATTGCTCTAGGCACTTGGGAAACAGGAAAAGTTCATCCCACCCCATTTCCATTAATTTCTTACAGCTGTCAAAAATTTCCCTTTGAAACAGGGATTAGATAGGTCTAAATTGGGTAGTTTTGCACAGAGATATACAAATTGCTTATACATATTGAAATAACAAAAATATTTGTTCAAATTTTTATGTTTTAAAAAGGTGGCAAACTACAGACATCCCCATCAATGTGCCACTAGGGTATTTTGGAAGCAATGTCACTGGCTGCCAACTCAAGAGCCTGAAAGAGGAAAGGGAGAAAAGCCACAACATTTGCAAAAGGACTAACCATCAGTGCAATAGCTAAATCCTCAGTGACAGTTGTAAAACAGTAAAAGAAATAGCAAAGGATAACATATGTCCTCCTCGGAGGACAGTACTAGCTCTAGGTCATTGTGTAACCTTGTCAGGAGCTCTGGAAAGGATGCTATTCCCAAAGGCCTATTTGCAAGGGCATTCATAAACAACAGCCTGAAACCACCTCTTCTCCTCTCTGTCCAAATGTGAACATAAGATTGCTTAATATAAGAAGCCTTTTATCACAAGGAAACTTGTTCGAACTTAACAGCCAATCAGTAAACTAAATCATAGGCTGTTGGGAATGAGAAAGAGTAGATACTTTCATTCCAGAACTCACACTCAGTTCCTCTGTAGATTGTGGAGCATGATACCCAAACCCAGACCACTTGGATGACGACGACGATGATAACGACGACGACATTCTATACCACCCATAGCGGAAGGCACACCAATTGCTCTGATTTGGATCTCATACTCCACCGCTTATGATCAAACCAATTGCAGATCACTGAGTAAAAGTGGAAGTGGTACTTTCTCTCATTCATGAACAGTTCTGCCTACTGAAGTGGATAGACAGAATCATGTTCTGAGGATGTCTGTTGCCACTGAGCAAGAATGCAAGAGTTTTTCCTTTTCTTATTTTCTTCTTGATGCAATAGTGGCAAAGTCAGTATTTAACCTGGTCAGCCACCATGAGAAGTGACCTAGGATCAACTTTTTAAAAATTTATCTACAGGATAATAATTCTTACTTACTTGCAACCTCTCAGGCCTTGTCTCTTCAATAACTACTGAAGTTGTGGGCCATGTCAATACACCAGGCACCATTTTATGCCTAACCATGATCTTTGATTTCATGAACTGGTCTAGAGCTTCTGAAAACCTATAGCATGAACAGATAAACTTCTATCACATATCTTAAACTATGTAACCAACTGTCTCTGTTATACTATGTACTTTGGAAAACAAAACAGCTGAATGTATTTTTCCCCTCAGTATAACACAGTTCAGAAATTGAAAGTCATTGTGATCAGTGGAAATGTTCCCTCTGGCTAGTTACATATGCTTTCTTCCTATTGAAAAGGTGAGTCTATTCTAAAGTCTATCCACCCTTTCAAAATAAAGAATCAATGCTTTTGGCAGGAAGAGCTTTTAAGCCGCTAATACTGCCAACATTCATCTTGCTTCACCAAGTTTCCTTTCTTCCTAATCCCTTTTAGTAGTGGTTGTCTTCCTTTGTGCAAATGGGCAGTCTCTTCCATGCACTAGGCAGCTTCTCTAAGGTTTTGGGAGGAGACCACATCCATTTCTTTGATAGAATAACAGCTACTGAGAGCAAGGGGGAAACAAGAGTAGCCCTGCAGAAGAAAAGCACTGTTTACCAGGAGAAGCAGGCAAGGTTAGGGGAGCTTGGTAATCTTAATTTGGTCCCAAGTTTGTTTGTTTGTTTGTTTATTTAGAGAACTTCTATGCCGCCCCATTCGCCGAAGCCTCGGGGCGGTTCACAATCATAAATAAATAACATAGTATAAAACAGTATAATTTAACAGTATAATTTAAGTCGCCCTGGCCAAAGAATAAAATAAATAATAGTAATAATTAAAGTAACGTTTCAATAAAAAGGTCTTCGCCTGGCGCCGAAAAACAAATAACGATGGCGCCAGGCGGACCTCTCTGGGGAGCTAGACCTACGCTCTAGCTGTCTCCCGGCCTGCTTCATCCCCCGCAATTCAGATGTATACCAAGGGAAAGAGTGGGCTCTGCCTGGTGGGAGAGGATGCTTAGGAGCGATCATGTCAACAGCCCTAGTCATCTCCCCATTCCATAGTTCGACCAGAGCCTCGACAGGAGCACCAGTCTTGTCAGCTGGAAACTCCCCCAGGGCCTTCAGGAATCCATCCAGATCCATCTGGCTCCGGGGGCAACCCACACAATCGGGTCCGCACCCTTACAGAGGGAAAGGCCGCTCTCGAGCACAAACCTCACGAGAAAGTGATCTGACCATGACAGGGGAGTCAGACATAAATTTCTCACCCTCGGCAAACCATGACTCCAACCATAAGTCAGATTTAATTACAAATATTCCACAATTAAAAAGGCAGTACACTAATCAGTCCAAGGCCATTAGATGAAATTGCTGGCTAGCACATCTCTTTCCTGATTAATTCCACACCACTGACATGCTTTTAAATATCTTACTAAGTGCTTCCTTTTGTTATTATTTAGGTGGAGTTACAAGGATACAGCAGTAAGCAGATCTCCCATCATGAAGAGCAGTATTAGTAAACAACTTAACAGGCAAAATGACTTTCTGCATTTCATACAAAGAGTACACACAGATGAAACTAGAGCCCAACTCAGAACTTACTCCTGATAGTCTTAACTAGCTTGACTCCTGAGAGCCAGTGTGGTGTAGTACTTAAGAGCATGGGACAGGAAATCAGGGATCTAGGTACTAGTCCCCACTTGAGAAAAACTGGCTGACTTTGGCCAGTCAGACTCCCAGCTCAAACTACCTTACAGGTTTGTTGTTGTGGGGATAAGATTAAGAGCAGGAGGAGGAGAATGATGTAAGCCACCTTGAGTTTTTTGTAAGAAAAAAAGCAAGATATAAATCTGACAAATAAATAAGGAAATCAACTCATTTAAAATAGAAATATACCACTTACCTATTCTGTCTCATGTATACTTTACCAATTCCATAATGTGCTAAGCAATCAAATCTCACTTTCTGATACTGTTCAATTATGTTATTAAAATACTCTTTGGCTTTAGTTAGTGCCTTTGGGGAAAAAAGGAAAAGTCTGAAAAAGTGATTAAATATGCACTTATCTGCAAAACACAGCATTTGCCACTTTAATTCACCACTTATTGCTACTTAAGAGACAAGCCTGGTTTCAAAAGTAGCTTCACTCAAGCAATATTGCAATAAACACAACAACTGAAGTTTTAACTGTGAGCATTTCCGTAATAAAGCACATGTTCCTTGTTTGGTTCACAGCCTGAGAACAAATAATAAACCATGGTCTGAAGACACCAAGTGATTCATGGCATACCTTCAGGAAACATGCAAAGGTAAAATGTCTAACATCCACAACACAAATCTATCACAAGATCATGCAACTGCACTAAAAGCAAAGGCAATGTATAACCTGCATTAAGTTTTAAACTTATGACTACCACCATTAACACATGTTGTGCCACATGGCATATTCCATGATGCACACCAGGACAGTAGCCATGAGATTTCTGTGTTGCACATCAGGACAATAGCCTATATAAGATCAGCCCCCTGAAACAGTCCTGTTTATTATTTGAAAACAATTTGCCCCCATGAATGCACAACAAATGGTTAATCATATCACAGAGGAAAAAATATAGTACAGCATATATGCATGTTAATGACAGGATTTCAAATATAGATTTTGATATCTGAAAACTGTTGCAAATGTTAAAAGAAGTTGGCATTTCCCTTCAGTTGTGGTATTTTATAATTCAGCTTAGAAAAGAATAAGTTGTCAACAACTATGCTAGTAAGTTTAAGTCAGAATTCATCCACTTCCTTCACTGTCATTTTAATAAACTGTCAAATATATAACAGCTTAAAGTCTTACCTCAAGCTGCCCTATTCCGAGCAGAGCAGTGGCATATCCATAGAGGATTACAACATAATCAACAACAGCAAGATTCATTTGCTGCAAGATGTTTGGGGGCTGGAGTGGGAATTGAACAGAAGACAAAGAAACAGTTGTCTGTCATTAAAAGTGCTACCTTCAAGAAAGGAACATAACAGCTGGGACAAAACCTATCAGTACCTATAGTTTTGCATGCATGAGCACATGGAGTTAGATCCAGGATGTGCCTTCCATAAGAGAAAGGACTCCACCCATGGCAGATCCCTCTGTCCAGTATTTGGGGATCCACCCCCTCCTCCACAGACACACACACACACCATAGCTCTACAATCTTTTATTCAGTGCCAGGAGATTGTACATTCTACAATCTCCTGGCACTGTGTAGCATTTCTAGGTAATTAAGAAAGTTGCTACAGGAAGAAGGGGACAGGGATATTTTATGCTGGGAAAACTGCACTGATTGAAGTGGACATCCCCCATTCACTCCTTCCTGTACCCTCAATCCAGAGAGCCAGTGTGGTGTAGTGGTTAAGTGCATGGGACTGGGACTCAAGTTCTAGTCCCCACTCAGCCATGGAGCCAACTGGGTGACTTTGGGCCAGTCGCAGACTCTCAGCCCAACCTACCCCACAGGGCTGTTGTTATGGGGATAAGATGGAGGAGGAGAATGATGTAAGCTGCCTTGAGCCCTTTGTAGGAAAAAGCAGGATATAAATTGAAAAAATCAATCAATCAATCAATCAATCAATCAATCCCTTTTGCTTACACACCTCAGACAGCTTCTAAAAACAGGATTTGAAATGAAGTTTCCTACTGTTGATGCAGATCTTAAAATATATCTGGAGGCCAAAATGAAACACCAAGGCAGGCTAAAGGCCATGGGGCAGGACATCACCTCAGTCCCCTCCACACTACCTTCAGGGGTTATACCTGAACACAGGGGCACCATAACACCTTTCCCTCTAGTCCTACTCTGGCCAAGTGACCCAGCAGGATATCAGGGCTGATTATACTGAAAGTTGCTGGGAGGCCCTGAACCCTTCCTGGCCTAGCGTGTTATCTACAAATACAACTTCTGTCCCCAAACTACTTATATTCTGAGGTTCTCTCAGCTCAGCTGCATTTAATCAGCTGCAACTATAGCCAGAGTATTTGTTCACTGATCTGTTACCCAATGTCTTGCAAAGTTTCTTAAAAATAATGAGTACCTATAGTTCATTAGGACATTGAAAAACAGAAAGATGCTCTCTCCTTGGCTACACAAAACACAGTCTGGAAGATATATTCTGTTCCTTTGTAAAGTAAAACACAATTTTGTTAATAAGATGCTTTCTGCCTTTTTCAGCTGTTTAGTACAGAAAGTTAAATGCTACTTTATACATGTATGGTTCTTCCAAGCACCACCAAGAAAGGTGTAAAGTAGGGGGAACCCATTTCAGCCTCAGAGTAAAATTAGTCCCAGGCAATGCTGTTGGGGTAGGCATGTATGATGACTGGGGGGCTGGGGAGAGATTTGCTGGATTTTCATGATTCAGTCTCATGGATTCTGGTTTGTTAGCCCTGTTAGGTGACTACTTTCATTGAGAATCAAACCAGCTCACAGACTGCACTCTCTAAAAGGGACTGGAATTTGCATTTTTAACCACTAATGAAATTTGTACAAATAAGCAGGTGCTGTAGGCACATTGCTGTAGCACAATCAGCCAATTTTCACAAATCAGCTGAATTTACATGAATTGTTCTACAGCCACATGGTTTTCAGCTGCTTAGTTGGACAAATCCAATTACCAGTTAAAAAACATGAACTGTAGTCCATCTTAAAGATAGAAGTCAATGAAACCTCTCTCTCTCTCCATCCCAATTCAGCCTACTTCTTATCAATGATAATATGTCAAGTTTAAACAAACCAGATTTCCTGTTTCAGTACATCCCTAGTCAGGGGCCACATGCTGGCAGTAGGAGGGACAGCTTTCTGAAGCGGGTGGAGCCACTGCTGACTTGCCAGCTCCCAGCACTTACATATGTACATATATGCATACATACATTTATATATATGCCCATTCCTCCATTCATACACAGTGAGCCGGCATGCTTTGGACCTTGCCATTCCCAACCAAAGAACATAAAATGAAGGCAGTTCCCTTCTCTGAAAGGGCAGGATCTTTGGAGAGGGGCTGGCACCTTACAAAAAGGTCTTTGCAAGGTGGATGGGAAGGCTTAACAGGCTGAAGTTTCCCTATCCCTAGTGCTAGTCTTATTAAGGTAAAACTGTTCATGACACAGCATGACATCCTTCCTATTACCTGTAGTTGGGATTTATCTAAAGTATTCAGTAATAGTTCAAAAGACTGTTCAGCGCTGTGAAAACGTTGATCCATCAAAGCTGTGTATCCATTTTTTATACAAGTCATCAACATTTCCAGTGAGGGTGATATATCCACCTGCAAAAACAACAAGGAAAACTGTGGCATTAGTTTTATCAAAACATGATTTAACTTATATCAGGGACTGTTTGATTTTAGTGCTTTCTGTGTGGGTTTCTTTTTATAAAATCGTTACCAATATTTAATTCAATAGCTATCTCACAAAGTTCAAGTCATTAGCAAATGACAAGAAAAGAGTGACATACTTTTGGATAATTTGCAATTAAAACTAAATAAGCTGTATAAAATATGAATTATATAAAGGTGGCAAAACTAACTGAAATGCCAAGAAAAAATGGACCATGTCATCCACATGACCTAATTTCCTTGGGGATCTAAGAGCCCCTTTCTTCAAGGAACAAGAGCAGAGGCCAACTTGGTGGGCCTGAATGCCACTGCCACTAAGAAGATAATGTTTTCTAGACAGATAAATTCAGTATTTTAAGCCAATGTTCTCCAACTTTTAGTAAGACAAATTGGTATTGTCCTTTACAGAACAATCCTATTGTGCAATGCTTGGCTCACATGGAAAAATAAGGCAAAATTTACTATTGCTTTTATAAGTATCACTTGAGGTTGGACTGCATGCTGGTCTGAAGCTGCTACAATATAAATACTCTACACACCTTTCATCAATTTCATCTACGAAGGACCCCCCAGAATCCTTCATATGTTCAACTCACTCAGAGTTTGCATTGCTACATTCCCATGATCTAATAAATCATAAAAGTGTATTATTTACCTGTTCCATAGTACTACTGGTAGTATTCTGTTTGTCTAGACCTTTTTGAGAATCTGTTTTTGGGTTCAACTGGTCTCTGCAATTAAAGATGATATAGCTACCTTTGTCATCAATGATTTCAATAAACACCTTTTTCCTGCTCCAAAATTTACCAGGGGTTTACTTCTACAGATCTTTCTTCAGAATATTCAAGTCTCTTGGACTCTGGTGCTCAAACTGACTCTCAGCACCATGAGCTTTCCAAGTTCATTGCCAACTCCATATAAACCACCTGTCCATCTACGCAAAGTTCCATGGTTTCAGTCACCATGATCAATATGCCACAGCCCCGTTGGGAAGTACAACATGCCCATGTCCTTCTCCAAATTCTTCAGGAGGCAGCAAAAATAGTATCTGAACTGCAGAAATCCTCATTCTCTCCCGTGTTCCAAAGCTGAGGTTCTTCAGCCACTGCACTGTTGAGGCACCCAAAGCACTTCAGTCTAACAAACAAGAGTTCTGCCACCCCTTTCAGATGCAAACTTAGGAGGTTGGTAGAGAAGCAAGTATTGTCCCTGAATTTGCAAAAGTATCAGGGATCAGTGTGCTGACAACCACCAATGTTAGCTGAGCTATCAGCCCAAAATTGTGGACCCCATGTTTAAAGGGCACATTACCCCTTAAGGCTAGTGTCTCACTGTTCTGAAGGTTTTAAAGAATATTTAAGTTCATTGACTTAACATTAGTCTGCACATGTAAGGTTTTTTTTGCACATATACTTTATTTATTAATCACTTGCACCTGTATACAAATGTTTACTTTTAGTTAGTTTATTTAATCCAATGAAAGGGTGGATATAAAACCCCAAGACACTTTAAAAAAAAGCAAGCTTTGAATCTCATACAAAATCATAAGGAGTGCAGCTCAAGAAATATAGTCCAATAGGACATTCACCTCATCTTCTCAGAATCTCCCATTTTACTCCTTGGTTTTCTTTGATTTTCATTCAGTCCTGTCAGGAAAAAAAAAATCAAATTTGGTATTTATCTAGATTTGTTTTAATAGAAAGAAAAAATATACACACATTGAGAAATTGACAAGGCTGAAAAAAGCCACCTAGGTGCATAAGTAACTAGGATTTGTATACAAATGCTTAGGTTCTTGATTTTTTTTTCTCAACATTGTACAGTTCTGACACCTAGATGTTGACACCTTGAGCCATATCATAACATTGGTAGCCTGATAAAGGCAGGCTACTTATCTGTAACTGCTGTCTTTGAGTGATCATCTGTGTATCCACACATATGCATCCGCATGGGAACTCTCTTTGGAAAGTTTCTATAGCTGATAATCTTTTTGGCAAGAATCCTTCTCCCAGTGTATATCCCAGAGAGTTCCTGCTCATTTCCCCTAGTCCTATTACTCTAACTTCATTTCCTACTGACACTGGAATGAAACCTTGCTTAGACAATTAGTCCAAATGTAAAATACTGGCCTCAGTATCAGCACAATATTAAAATGACAGCAAAGCAAGAACAGTGGGGGAGGGCTAGAAATTGTTTGTCCCATGAACTGTGGAGAAGGGCTATTTTCTGGTAGACCATGTGGGTTTCACTGGACTGTGGCAACAGACTGCTGTTTTGCTATAACTGGGGCCATAGGTAAAGGAGGCAGAGAAAACTGATTCTGCAGAAGAGTGAAGTAGATGCTGAATGGAATCTTGGATGGAAACCTGAGTGGATTTCCACTGGCAGCAGGGTGAAAAAATATTCTTGATCCCAAGAATATGTGTATTCATCATAATAGTCATTCATAGTGTCTGCTGCAATCTGACATCAGGGATCAAGAGCTTTCTCTTGGACAATTAGTTTGCTCAGTATCAACAAAAGCCAGCTGAGTTAGTCTAGGAAAAGTTATGTCACAGCAGCTTGGTGCCAAAAGCACTGGACAGAAATATGAGACTAGTATCTCAAGGGGCAAAGCATCATGGATTTCTCCCTTGGAAACAGATGTTGCCAAGATTAGCTCCAGCTTTGGTAGCAAGGTGTTGGTAGATGGAATAGCTGTCAAGGATGAGTTGCAAAGAACAGTTGCCACAGAACCATCTTTGGTTTTGAAGATTAGAAGCACTCCTACTTTGATTAGAAGATTATACAGTGTGAGTGGGCATGCCACCCCAATACAAGAGGCCAGAAGGCCTAAGGTGGAAGGCCTCTCTCCATTGCTCTTCATGCATCCACCTCCTCAAAAAGCTCTGTTCCAAAATCTGTCCTATTCCTCCTGATCTGCTTCACAGACACCTGGCAACAAGGGAACAAGACTACAAAGCAGCCCTCACCCAAAGAAAAGATGCAGAGAGAGTGTCTGTTGGCAGACGGAGCTTACTCCTACACCTCACACAGTTTCAAAAAGGATCTTAAGGGCCTTATGGCTTGAAAAGGCCCAGAACCTCACAAAATGAAGGAATGACTGATGATGATGCAATAATTAACAGAGAACTATAGCTCAACTAAGAAAAAATATGTTGAGGAACAAACTGAACTCTCTGAGGCTACCACAATAGTGGTCAAAGAATTGAGGGAAATGGACAGGAACCCTCTGGGATATACTAGCAATGACAGTGAAGAAGGGGTTCCCACCAAAAAGATTCTCAATTGTGTAAGCTTCCTAAAACAAGGTTCCATGTAGGCACAGTCTTCATATGTGTGATGTGCACAGATATTTGAACTTCTGATGATCAAGAATGTGAGCATAAATCCTATGTGACCTATCTAGAACGGAAATCAATCTTTCATTCCACATGCTATTTTGGCATTTTCATGAATAAATAGATTTTAGACACCCAAAGTTGCATTACTGGTATATGAACTCTAAAACCCCCAATTATTACTTTTAAACTCCATTTTAAAGAATGGAGATTTCATAAAAGTTATCACAAGAATTTTTAACTTAATCAAACAGCATCATAAATAAGCAAAATTTTAATTGTTCTTCCAAAGAATTGTCTTAACCATTTATGTTGAAATCTAAATTCCAAATAAGCAGAGAATATTCAGAGCCAAGTGATTTTTAGTAAGAGATGCATGTACTCCATATCTTATATGGAAACAATAAAATGATCGTTCAAAAAAAATGAAAATTATTAGTTGTAGTTCTAGAAGACAACTGTACTTAAAGAAAGCTCTCACAGAACATGGGATTCCAGTTTCACATTGTCTCTTTGGTAGTTTGTCACAATGAAAACCCAGAATGTATATTAAAAATAGAATTTAATGACTGCAAAGATAAGAATATAACATCAGACACACCAAACATGGATGGAAGGGAATCCAAAGAATTCAGAAATGAGCAAAGGAACATGCAAAATGAAAACTAGTTTCCAAGTCCTAAATATACACTTATTTACTGAACTCCATTAGTTCTAAGGAGACAGTCACCTTAACACATTGTTAACACACAAAATAATTAGTTTCATATCCACAGTTATGGGTCCAGGCAAGCAAGTACTTCTCTGGATCATTTCAACAGAAAGACATCAGAGATACTTGACAATCTTTACTATTTGATTAGCCTTACACTTTAGATCACCTCAAATATTCTATTCTGTAGTTTATTGGTACTATGCCCATCTCATGAAGGATGGGCCATTTGATCTTTGTTTCTATAATGAGGTTTTCAAGGAAAAGCCAGACTATATAATTTTACCTTAGATTTTAAGATGCTAAAAGCCCTAAATGACTTAGGGCCTGGATATCTGATGGAGTGTCTCCTTCCCTGTGTGCCTACCTGCCCCTTAATATCTGGGGCAGAGGTCCTTCTTTGGAGCCCTCCTTGAAGGAGATTAGGAGGGTGGCTACGTGAAGAAGTGCTTTCTTTGAGGTGGCACTCTGGTTATGGAATGCTGCCCAGAGCAGCTCACCTGGCATCGACACTTTATTCCTTTTGCCACCAGGCTAAAACCTTTTGGTTTTCCCATTATTTTAAGGTTTCACTAAGGTTTAATGTGGGTTTTATTTTATTGAAATTATTCAGATGCTGTGCTTCATTTCATTTTATTCTGTTTTTATTTTAAGACCATCCCAAGACTTTAGTAGTTGGACGGTATATACAAGCTATAAATAAATAGATTTTTTTTTCAGAAATGCTAAAAATAAATCTTCCTTACAACAGGCCCTGTGCAGAGACAGAGCCCATATGTGTGATGCACAGAGATCATGAAGAAGAACTGAATGTTTCTCAATTCTATGCATATTTAGGCGGAAAAATCTTCTACAACACACACAAGCAGGTGAAAGCTGACAGTTGCAGGTCTTTTCTGTATAAAGATACATAACATCCGTGTATCCTTGTTTCAGCAAGTAAGATCTGCCCATTACACACTATATACCAAAATGCCTTGGGTCCAATTATTTTATTAACTTACCTGAAGTAAAATCTGAAAGCCAATCTTTGTTTTCTTTAGTCTGTGTATTATCAGCCACCTGTTAAAAGATAAAATGGGAACTTGTCCACTACTGTGACAAGAAATGTATTTGATATCCTGAAGCTACAAAAAATTAATCCAAGCATTAAAAACATTTAAACTTGAGAAGATATCTAGTAATTTGTATTTTATTATATGCTATGTCTATCATAACTAAAACAGACCAACAGAAGACTGGCCAATGCCTACATGTGAACTTATTTATTATTTAAAACTTTTATATGCTGTCACCACATGCCTCAGCATCTCCAATAAAACAATAACAATTCCATAAAATTATATAAAACAAAGAACAAAAAAGCAACAGTTAATGATAAAATATTAATTTTTAAAATAGCAATTAAATAAAAAGCTTTTAACCTGGTGCCGAAAAGAATATAAACTTGGCACCAGCCACACCTCTCCAGGGAGCACATTTCATAATCTGGGCGCCATCGCAGAGAAGGCCCTGCTCTGGGTAGTTGTTCTTTTTCTCTCCTTTAAAAAGGGCTCCCGGAGCAAAGCCTCTCTCACAGATGTTAAGGGGCGTGAGGGCATGTAAGGGAAGAGGGGCTCCTTCAGGTATCCTGGTCCCAAGCCATTCAGGGCTTTATACGTTAAAACCAGCACCTTGAATCGGGTCTGGACTTCAACTGGGAGCCAGTGGAGCTGGTAGAGGACTGGCATTATATGAGAGTAACAGCCGGTCCCCGTCAGCAGCCTGGCAGCTCTGTTCAGTACCAGCTGAAGTATCCGGACCGTTTTCAAGGGCAGCCCCACGTAGAGCGCATTGCAGTAATCCAAGTGGGAAGTTACCAGAGCATGTATCACTGTTGCTAGGGAGTGCTCATCCAGGTAAGGACACAGCTGATGGGTCAGTCAAAGTTGTAGGAAAGCAAACCTTGCCACCGCCGCCACCTGGAACTCCAGTGTCAGCTCTGGGTCAAGAAGTACTCCCAAGCTGTGGACCCTGCCCTTTAGAGGGAGTGCTACCCCATCCAGAACTGGGACAAAATCACCTACCTGGAGACCCGCACCACCCACCAACAGGACTTCCGTCTTATCTGGATTGAGGCTCAGTTTATTGGCCCTCATCCAGCCCATTACCTCAGCCAGGCACCGGTTCAAGACAGCCACCACCTCACCTGGAGCAGATGTAAATGAGAGGTAGAACTGGGTGTCATCAACATACTGATGACTCCGCAGCCCAAACCTCCTGATGACCTCTCCCAGCCGTTTCATGTAGATCTTAAATAGCATGGGGGACAAAATAGAGCCCTGTGGGACTCCATGGCAAAGCTGCCATGGCGCAGAGCTATAGTCCCCCAGCACCACCTTCTGGAATTGGCCGGGCAGATAGGAGTGGAACCACTGCCACACACTGCCTCCTACTCCCAAGTCAGCCAGCCTATCCAGAAGGATACCATGGTCGATGGTATCAAAAGCCGCTGAGACGTCCAGGAGAACCAACAGAGATGCACTCCCCCTGTCCCTCTCCCTGCACAGGTCATCATACAGGGCAACCAAGGCAGATTCAGTACCATAACCGGGTCTGAAGCCAAACTGAAATGGGTCCACATAATCAGTTCCATCCAAGAGTGCCTGGAGTTGTCCCGCCACCACCAATTCTAACACCTTGCCCAAAAACGGAATATTGGCCACTGGTCTAAAGTTGGTTGCCACCTCTGGGTCCAGGGATGCCCTCTTTAGGACAGGCTGGGGTCACCGCCTCCTTCAAGGGGGCTGGGACCCGGCCCTCACTCAGTGAGCCATTAAGAACCTCCTGGACCCAGGGACCAATCCTGTAACTGACCTTTAGGCTAATTTAAACGTAGAGCCTCTCCCATGGCAATGGAGAGAGCAGAGCTGCTACATGTTCACAGTTCTTGAAATATTCCTAACAGACTGTTTTCTCCAATGTTCTGAAAGCTTTAAATTCAAATGGTAGAAAGGACAACAAACTAAACCTATGCCATGCCAGAAGGTTAACACACAGCAATATTATGGATGACAAAATGAGATACAGCCCTGGAAACAAGATTCATATCAGAGGGAGGGAAAGTAATGATATTGCCCTCTAAATAGCATTTATCAGTAACACATTCACTTAACAGCAGTGAAATCATACCTTTGTTTGCATCTGCTGACAAACATTATGCTGAGAATCAGACTTTTTCTTTTCATTGTCAGATTGCTTTGATTCTTGGTCAGATTCTGAAGAACTAAACAAAACATTCCAAGGGATTGAACAGATACAATTCTATCACACAGATAAAGTAGAATACATTGCTAAGAAAGTTATCCCAGATGGTTAATAAATTGTTTTATGATATTGAACCAATTATTTATATTATTGCTGTTCTGTAATAAAATAAGCTACACCCTAGCACAATAATTAAATAAATATTTTCTTTATGAATAGCAATAACTATACATATAATATTGTTTATGGGGAATGCCTGGCTCAGCTTGGTTCCTAAGCCAGGAGTAAGTGCAGGAAAGAAGTTCAGTAAGCTCAAGAGAGCCAGAATCCAACTGGACCATAGCATGACTATCTTTCACATGTTTTAAAACCTGCAACAGAAAACTAAACTGCATTTAATCAGTCAGTGTTTGATTTTTTAATTTACTTGATACTTGAAGTTATTTGGAATTAAACTTTTTTTGAAATACAGGTTTCTTCATTCTGTGCCTATTTTGTTTTACAACTAAATAAATTTACTCATATCATTGAACAAATGTTATCATACCAAGTGTTTTTCTGTATATTCAAAGACCATCTTAAAGTGGAAAAACCTCCAGTTTCTTCCAGCTGCATTATAAGTTTTTCACGTTGCTGAATAAGATCCTTAATTCCTTTAGGGTTATTCTCGCACAACTCTTGACCTCTCAGATTGGCTTCCAATGCTTCTTTGAGCTTTCCCATGACTGATAGAGCATCACAGAATCGATAATGTCCCTACAAAATGCCATTTTTTTTTTAAAGATCATCCCTAAAATAGTAAGCTTCGCCAGTAATAACATTTTACATTTTATTGTTGTTGCTTATATCCACCCAGACAGAAGTCCCATTATGTTCAATACGGTTTACATCTAGATAAATGTGCATAAAATTATAGCCTTGAGTATATGACTATATACAACTTCCCACATACTTTAAAAGGTTTCTTCCCAATTCTGCAGCAGATTTTTGGGAAGGAGAGGGAGAAAAAGTGAAAATCCCCCCCCCCAATAGGCACTGATAATATGCTTTCCATGAACAAAATCCTGCCTATGGTGGATCACTAGATCCAACCCTATCTTTATACATTAGAAAAAGCTACTATTGAAGTACAGATGCTTAAACTGATTATATTTAAACACTGCACAGCATGGAGCTAATACAAGTGTTCTCCAACTTTCCCAAGATCCTGTGGAGGGACCCGAAACAAAAATATCCCTGAAGCCGAGAATCCCATGGTTCAGCTTTTCTCAAGTTAAGCTACAGACATCTGCTTTGTGCACTTCAGGAAGAATTTGCTGATCCAAAGGCTCTAAGTGGATAAGACTTTTCATTTTGCATTTTCTTCCTTCTTTCCTCACATACTTCTCAAAGTATTCCTACACATCTTCTCTTCTCCCTTCACACTTAACATATACCAATTCCCTCACACTCCCAGTTTCTTTCATTCCTCCCTCCTATTGGTGATATTGGGTGGACTGCAACATGGTGACCCAATGGTGGAGCACAATTTGAGAAACAATATGTATTACCTAACAATAAGAGAAGCAGCCAAGGAGACAAACCCTAAATATAACTGACAGGCATCCTTTCAATTAAAAAGGGGGCAAGGACCTTACCCATCAACAACTACTATAAACAGAAATAGACCCTTGAGTGAGCACAGCTTTTTCAGCGATTCATAACTAGCAAGATCTGCTCAAAACTAGAAACTGACCAACTTCCTATTTACATAATTATTAAATGCTTGCAAAGTCCAATGTTCTCAGGCTTCAGTCATAGCAACAGTAAATCTACAAAATACATGTAACCAACCTTTGGCCAGTTGGGCTTCAAAACAATGGATCTTTTCCCATCCCACAGGGCTTTACTAAAAACAGAATTCCAAATTTAAGTTACAAATGATTAAAACATTATTAATCAAACTAAAGAAATTTTCAATTTGCAAGTCCAAAACTGAACAAGTTCTATTTATAAAAGAAATTTTATCTTATGGAAATTCCTACTCCTGAGAGTAGACATTGCAATTTTCTCCTGTGGAACAGTATCTCTGCCAGGTGGAAGCCAGATTCAAACTTTGACTGCCCTAGTGGGACAGAGAGCCCTGCTTTCCCAAACCTAGCCTATTACTTCTGAAAGCTCTGTACTTCCCCAGCCTCTTCACAGCACTGCTGAACAAATGTCAGTTTACAGCCCTTTTTTTCCTTCAAAACACTCCTCTCAGGTTTCCTTCTGGGTTAGCTCTTGAAGATACAATGACCCTGCTGCTGCTGTAATGATGACCTATCAGTTTATAAAGAGCCAGTGTGGTATACTGATTACAGTGTTGGACTGGGACACACTAGATCTGGTGGCCAATTGGCCATGAACCTCACTGTATGACTTTGGAACAATCACTGACTCTCAGCTTCATTTAATTCATTGGGTTGATTGGGAATAAAAAGGAGAGAAGAATTATGTTAAACACCTTGAGTTCCTTGCAGAAAAAGGTAGTATATGAATAAATAAAAACCACTGAGTGATGGTGCACAAGCAGGTTTGCTGTTGCAAGATGCACACCTCTTTTGTGTCTTAGTGCACAACCCATGATCAGCTCCTTCATAGGTTTGTAGCACGATGTATGAACTCATCGCGCTAAACTGTTTAGGAGCTAAACAACCCAGCAGCTAATCCAATAACAAACCTCTCTCTACTGCTCATATACAACAACCAAAGGTTTTTAAACTGATGGGTTGTTATGTCCAAATCAGGTCACTGAAATAAATGCTAAAGTCAACCTTGTTTTATTCATTGACAATAGTGTAGTACTTGGAGAGTACGATCACTCCTCTTTCCTTCAAACAGAAAGATTATCTAGCATGGATAGTTAAGTAATAAGTAGATATCTGTATAAATTTAGCTGCTTATGGCATATATACAGAATTTGCCTTTTATCAACTGCTGAATATTCATATTTGGCAAATGGTAAACTAATTTCTACAACCAGTATCCCAAAATATTTGCTGTGGTCCAACAACCTTGCACTCAGTCAGATGAACCTTTGATTTTTTTTGCTTTGAACAATTGCTATGCCATTACAAAAATCTGCTTTCTGAATACTTATTCAGAGCAGCTAACCTAACTACAGTGGTACTTCAGCTCACAAACACCTCAGTTCATGACCAAATTGGGTTGCGAACAGAAATTTCATAAAAATGTTGATGCGGGTTGCGAACTCTGCATTGGGTGACGATTGCGAGTGCACTCGCCTTCCCTACACAGTTATGGGGGGAGAGGAGAGATGGCCATGATCTTTGTTGTTCTATGTCACTTTGCTTCAGATTTTTGTAAGTAAACAAATAATTGCAGAACAGATTAACCTTATTTACATTGACCCTTATGGGGAAATTTGACTTGGCTCACGACCTATTTGGGTCACAACCAGAGTCCTGGAATGGATTAAGTTCATGAGCCAAGGTACCATTGTACTTCCTTGTTTCTTTAGAACCAGGCCATTGTATACTTTTGTCTTTAGAAGTGCACATTTTAAACTTTGACTAGTGTGCACCATATACAAAGCCAAGAAGCATCTCAAAGATTCAGAGTTCCACAAAGGGATTTACAGAAGAAACACTCTGAAAGTCTATTTCCCATTTGTGATATAACCTCCATTTACACATATGTAAACAACTGCTTTTTCCCCTGCAACTGTTTCTGTGTGATCAAAGAATGATTCCAATTCATACTCCCATGGCTTTACATTTATTCCTTCCTGTATCTTAAAGCAAATTGTTTGTAAGCCGCCCAGAGGCTTCGGCGAATGGGGCGGCATAAAAATGTTTTAATAAATAAATAAAATAAATAAAATGGGAGCAGGTTATGTTGAGCAATTCAATGAAATACTGTAACTACAGATATAGAGAACAAATGTTTAGTATGTTACTAAAGCCGATGGATTTAAGAAACAACGCATTAACAAATGGTTACTTTTAGGTGAATTCTGGAGGAAAATATATACGTACATATAGTGTTCAGTTCGGAGAAAACAGAGGGCCCGGTTGCCATAAAGGAGGTGATTTTCAGGCCTAAAAAAAGTTAGATTACTTTCAGTTTGTAAAGCACACAGCTATGAATTTAAATGTTTCCAGAAAGTTTAATCAGAAACTTATTCCACAGCAAGTTTGATATCCTGCAGCTTTATATGGTTTGGAATGCAGTAAAGTTTAACCGAAGTTCTAAAATGTTGTGTTGAGGCATCTTTTCTTCAATCTCTGTGGATAGGAAAGGATTCAGTAAAAGGTACACATGCAGCCCAGTGTCAGCCTAGCTATATAGCTGAATGCCAGAAATATAGCAGATGAGCATGAGTAGAATTTGCTGCCAACAGTGAACATCACCTAAAGCCATGCCACTCACTTTCAGTAAAAAAAACCTTTTGTATATGATAGGTCCACCAAGACGCATTTCCTGCTTTAACTTCTACCTAACCTCATTGCTACTGAAGTAGTTCAGATAATGATAGATTTTTATTATGCTATTTTGTATCTCTGAGGAAACTTGTTAAGATAACCCAGCATGATGTATGAAACATACCAACAGGCTCCTTGGTTGACTTCTGCGTGGCTTGCATGACCTTCTACTGCTCAGTTATCAATTAACCCCCTTCCCCACCACTGCCAACCCAACTGAGGCAAGAAATAGCTGAAGGGTATTTACACAGGAATGCTCTACAGCTGTTCCTGGTACCACTCAGCTGGGAAGCAGGAGGGCATGCAGTAGAG